AGCTTGGTGTTCGGAATATCAGAAGGCTCTCACAACTTGTGAGTCACAAGTCGCAGAGTTTTGCATTGTTGGGCTGTTTCGTGCGGCAAAAAAGTTGCCTGGAATAGCACCGCGACTAAATTATGCAGAATTATCGTTACGAGATCACGAGCGTCAGATAACGAGCTGGAGAGCAGGATCACCGGCAGCAAATTCTCAGGATCGACCGATGCACAGTCATTGACTAGACTGGGATTCGCTGCTGGACTATGGAGCTGCCTGTCAGTATTTCCAGAGATGAGCTAGTCGTGCTGCAACTTCTGGAAGAGATTCAACAATTAGTGGATCTAGCAGGGGGTGAGACTAAACCAGGTGTCGATGCCAACCCGAGAATGCACCCGGCAGCCAAGTTGTACCTCGACACACGTGACACTTTCGAGGTGATTGAAAATCTGGTGGAGGAACATGTCAAAGGGAAACCAAAGCTGCTCCGCAGACTCAGTAAGCAATCCAGTAGTGAGAACGTTGTAGACTCAACCCGTGCTTCCTCTATTCCAAGTCCAACCGTTTCTGCGCTGAATGACGCAGTCATTGATCGTATCCAAGAGATGTTTCGACATTTAGGAAGTTTACTGGGACCTTCGATTCTGAAAGAACTGCGTCTACGTAAGCTCTCGATCACATCGATCTTACATTATGTGAGATTTTTGCCAATGGGATACCAGTGGACAGCATACAAAGAAGCACGAAAAGAAGAAGTGGAGCTTGTGTACCGTGAGACTGTTTATAACTCGTTATCATCGTTGACTCACTCTCAAACAGATAGCCAAACATTGCGTCATCGTGCTGAATTTGTAAAGCAACAAATTCGCAAAGATGTGGATACTGTTTGTTTGTTTGCAGCGGATGGCACGCTCTCTACGATTTTTGGAGATGACGGTGACATGGTGGAGGAAAATGTGGCTATCAAGTTTGAAACACTGATAGCAGACGTGTACAGCGGCTATCTCAAAGAGTCGTTAGATGTGCAGATGCAGCATTTGACGCAGGCTTCTGATCAATGGGCGCTCGATACAGCGGTGACGTCGTCTTCAAAGCAGACAGGAGAGACTGGTCCACCCCTTATAGTTCAGTGTTTCTATCGTCCGCGTAAGTTTCGCATGAAAGGAGGTATTTTTCCGGAATTGTTGACGAATCTCGAACATCGATTCGTTCATTTACCTCCAGCTCATTCGGGTCAACAAGCAAAACTTTTAGTGGCAGATTCTCATCAAGTCGGTGTGTGGTGGCAAAAAACCGTGTTTTCAGTCTCCGAGCGAGACGTCACTACCCTGCACGACGATGAAAGTCGCGATATATTCGGGAAGGTCGAGACATTAGACGGTCAGTTGTACGTACCGCTTCTCCGAAAAGAACAAGATGGGTCTCGTTTATTTGGTCGAAGTGGGGGTCTTGCGAAATGGGTAGGCCAACGCGTCCTCGTAAACAACGGGAAGGACAGTGTGTGGGTGGAAGTTGAGGTTGTTGACGTGGACGACAAGCGGTGTAAGCTTCAGATGAAGAAATCGCTTCAAAAGTGTGCGGAAGTGTCTAGTTGGACCCAATTCTTATCGATGAACGAATGGGTAAATCTGCGAGAGCTCCATTTCATCGGAGCGCCAGTGAACCCGCAGTTCCGCGTGCAAATGGGTCTCAAATTTCGGGAAATCCTCGAGTCTGTGCAGACTGTAGTGGTCGAGATCAGCTCCGTTTTCCCCAATGGAGACTTGAACGACAAGGTGGGGAGTGCCTTGTGGAAATCTGTCGAGTCGTCAATCAGCCGAGGTGAACACATCTTTGCACGCTACTTCCGGTCTATTCTTCAAAGCGACGTGCTAACCCAGGGGAATTCCATGATTCACTCGGCACCGGCACGTTCAAGGTCGAGTTCTTTTGAAACTGTAGCTTCACCTCAAGATCAACTGGTTGTGAGGGACATGGGAGGTCCTCCATCTGTCGTTAACGCTGCAAGAAGTTCTGTTCGACCAACTTCTGAAGCGAAAAGTGGGTACTTTGATGAGTTTGGGACGTATTGCTTCCAACACCAACAACCACGACTGATGCGAGCTGGTACTGCCATGCGCTCAACGATAGCGGAAGCCACGACTGTGACGCGAACTATCTCACCGTTTGAGAAACTCGCACATCATTTACTTGAAGAAACTGAGATCATCGGGACCTGTATTCAAGCGCAGAATGTCGCTCTTAGTTGCGTGTTTGTGCAGGTTTTACTTGAGAAAATCGCCAAGATGAATCAACAAATGCTGACTACGCTTGAATTACCGTCATGTACCGTGGAACGCGTCATATCGGAACATGCCAACTCGTGCAGATTACTTTTCGTGTGGCGAATATGCCGACATCAAGTGGATACCATGGCCCGACAAGGGAGAAAGAGTAGACGACGCAATCTTGACCTTGACAGTCGATACATTCATCTCAACTGGGTTGATCACGCGTTCGAACGGGTGGAAACACAAATCTTAGAGATGATGCAGTCACTGGTTCACTTCGGGCATCGCGTCTTCTTTCACGAATGCATGAATCATCTACTCTCGGGAATTTATGAGCAATCTTGGACTGCGTGTAAGCCGTGGTTTGGTAACACTCGATGCACCTACGCCGTACAAGGATTTATTTTTCGGATGCAGTTATTGCTGGAGTACGTGAATAACACGGTGCTAATAGGCTATGGACGCAACCTCGGTGTGCACGAAAAAGTATATGAACTAGCCGCTCGAATGCTGTTGGATGTACTGACTTGTATTGCGGAGGCATACGAGAGTCTGGTAATCGCAAGAGCGCGTGAAGGACAGTGGAAGATCGACATCCTCTATCTTGTCTGTGGCGTGTACAAGTTATTAAAACAGTTGGATCAAATGTTTTCTTCTCGGGGCGCTAGTCAAAGTGCCAAGGGGAAACGCAAAGGTACGATTTAATTCTCGACGTACCGTGTGTTAAGTGTGGCTTAATGTTTCTCTTGGATTTGTGCAGCAATGAATGATATTCGATCAATTTGTTTGCGACTTCTTGTCCGCTTAGCCATTCGATCTGGCCCAGTCAATACTGTATTGGAAACATTGGTGAAGAAGACTCACGCCAACAACTTTGAGCACTACGCAGACGTGGACACGATTTCTGAACTGGACTATCATATCGCCTCCATTATCCGCTGGGTCGACCCTAACGGAGACATTCTGGGCGATTTTGGTAACGACGAGGTATGTGCGAACGCTTAAAGTCAAAGGCGGTGGTAGGCTAACCGGGCTGTCAACACTTAATTTATACACACAGAGTGAGAAGGAATTAGGGAGGATACACACGATTTTTGGCAGCATGGCGATAAAAAAGTTGGTCGACGTGCAACTGAATGTAAGTGATCTTTCTGTGTAACTACGAATTGATTAATTGCTAACGACAAGGTTTTTTTTTCGACAGTGGGCAGCTTCAATTTCTCGAAGCAGTTTACCAAAGCAAACGTTACTCGGGATCTTGCAACAACGACACGAGCTTGGTGATTGGCCGTTTCCAGTACTCTCAGAGATCGAGTTGCAAGCGCGTTGTCAAATTCAGCAGGTTCTGATTAGTGTCCAAAAGTTTATCGATGAACCACGATACTAGCTTGTCTTACTGTGTGGTCATTGCAGTTTATCGATCAATTCAGCGACAACACGACAGAAAACGAGCAAGAAGAGCACGACGTTACCCCATCGGAGCAACCAGCAAACAATGCGAAGCAGGATAAAGACATTAGCTCGCATCCATGCAACACGAGTGAAGAGCCAAGCTTAACGTTGCCAGCATGAATTATTATGGTCAATTTTGCTCACAGGAAGGATTTTATTTAGAGCAAATTCATTATTCTGAAAAATATTATCAATCGGAAAAAAAGACACGGGCTCTCTAAATATGGATTGCTTGGACCGCATGCTGCTCCCAATCTGGCCGTCAACGTAATGTTGCATTTTTGGCCATTCCTAGCACTTCAAAACATTCACCTACCAAGGTAACAGTGCTGTTGAAGAATGGAGGTGATATCGGAATTGGTGGGACCTGCTACTTCAGCGCAGTGGACGCAACTCTGGGGCACTTCATTCGGATCCGCTTCAGTGCAACCCACGAGACGATCGGCTCACGCTATCGCCACTTTTGAAGATAATTTGTATCTCTTCGGAGGCATCAGTACGAACGCAGCAGATGAAGATGTCGAGTACAACGACACGTGGGTATTCGATCTTGTTGACAGACAGTGGACCGAGTTATCCGTCGGGAACAACCGACCTTTGAACCGTTTCCACCATGCTGGAGTACTTCATACGAACACTACTGTCAACGAGTTCATTGTATTCGGAGGACTGTCACTTTTAGTTGCAAAGATTGATGAGGGTACAGCCACAACGAACAGCGTCCCAGTAGTGCAGTACAACGATGTTTGGCGATTGTCTTTAACAGATAGCACGCCGAAATGGGTCATGGATCCCAGTCCATCGAACTCAACCAGAGATGTACCGGACGCACGATCCGAGGCTGGTGTCGTCATTCACAACGACTTTTTGTACATGTTCGGTGGGATAGCGTACGACGAGAAAGGCGAGGAAGCCCCAGTGGACTACAACGATCTGTGGAGATACGATCTCAGCTCATACGTCTGGAAAAAGATCGAGTCTACCGGAGATCGACCCCCGACTCGCTTTTCTCATTCCGTCGCGTTGTTACATGACAATAGCGAGAAAAGCGAGGCCTATTTGCTCGCATACAGCGGTAGACACTTGTTGTTTTCAAGTTGGACATTGCTGGACGACGTTTGGGTCTTCGATTTCAGCAAAAATGAATGGATGGGTATAGCACCCTCAGCCAGCGTTCCTCGCGCATACACGTCGATAGTCACCACAAAAGGGAATAATATGTGGTTCTTTGGAGGGTACTATAAGCCACAAAAGAGCTCGAGTGGCTACGTCTACGAGGACATTGTTCTCGGCAAATTTGACTTCGAAAATAGGAAGATGGAAGCGCGGCATGCTGTCACTGAGAGTGATAGCGCATCTCCTCCACTGCGTTACAATCACCGTGCTGCTCTTTGGCGTGGAGATAGTATGGTGATTCACGGTGGGAGCTACCAAAGCCAATTGGGTGACGTGTGGGTTTATAACACCACAAACGCAGTGACGACGGACGCAGCTACCAGCACGCTTCCGATAGACCCAGAGTCACTCGTTTACGTGCTTGGAGCCTTCATTGTCACAGTCGTGTTCGTTCTATTAGCTCTTCTCGTTCGTTGGCGACGCGCGGATCGAAGAAATGTGAGTTATTGACTTGAATGCGCGAGGTTACTCGTACTAACCGTAATATTTCATTTGCTCTGTGGCTAGCTGCGTGCTGCTCAGATACGCGGAGCTGCGGTTGTTCGTGGTGTGACGAAGGAAAGATTGGATCAACTAAGGATCACGAAATACAATCGTGCGGAACGGAACCCCGAGTCACCAACGGAGCTTCTCAGTCCAACCAGCGTGGGCTCGATAGAAAACGAGGATATCTGTCCAATTTGCTTGGTACGAAATATCACTCCACTGCCCATGGCTATGTTTTGGAAGGCTTACCTTTTTCTTAATGTGATATTTCTCAATGGTAGATTGAATTCGAAGACGGTGAAGACGTTCGGAACCTTCCGTGCAAGCACATTTTCCACGTAGCTTGCATTGACGAGTGGCTGAAACGAAACACGGTACGTTGTACCCACGTAGTATATTGTCGAGCCACGATGCTTATACGCTTTTCATGCCATTACCAGTCATGCCCAATGTGCAAGAGTAATGTGGACTTGGATGCAGTGGATATCACAGTGGAAAACCTTGCAAGAGGAGGCGCCGTCGTCACACCCGTTACGACCACCAGCTAGAAAGCAGACACGACATTGTCACCACCACTAACCGGCGCGGCTTCCTGCGTCTTTTTAGATTGTCTTTGCCTCCAAACCGAACAAGGTCTGCGGCTTCAAGTCTCGCGCTTCTTTTCCATCGAAATCTAGGTTCGTGTTGGCATGTGCAAAACTTTAAAGACATCTATCTGCTTATCGACGGCGGTGTTGCGCATTTTGCGCCAACAACTGCTTGGTCACCTTTGCTAACCTGTCTAGTTCCTTCGGTGTCGCTGGCCCTCCCGCACTACAGAACCACAACATCAATAATCATATCAGTCCACCACATACTTACTAACTACAGTAGTACCACCACACAACGTACATCCATCGGATACGTCCTTTGCCGTCCACAAGATGCGCGTACCCCACGAAGCTGTTATCGAGCGCCATAGGCGTCCGGAAATCGTCGCAACGTCCAAAATGCACGAACGTGGTGGCGTGAAGCTCCCCGGGGATCTTCTCCTGTAAGCCACGGGTAATGCTCCCGCTAACGAGCTTCATGTACCAGTCCTCGATCACGTTGAGCGTCAGCGTCTGCACTCTGCTGTCCAGTTTTCCCTGTTTGTCCCCAAAAGAGGCTACAAAACCGTCCCTCCAAGCTGGCAGCATATCCAGTCCGTAGTTCTTAAACGCTGTGAGTACAAGTGTGACTTTCCCCTTGGTCACGAAGTTCTGGATGTCCACCTTCTTGCCGTCTAGCGTGTCCACCTTCAAGGACGGAACACTCTTGGCTTTACCCACTTCGATGAGCATCTCGCTGCCTTCCAGCACTTTTCCCTCCGTATCGTTAAGTTGCTTAAACTCTGCAAACATGTTGGGGCGGTATTTCTTCTCCACCTTGCGGTCTGCTTCTTCGATCATCTCGTCCAGAGCTTCCAGTGCGTTGCGCAGGTTCTGGGCTGGGGATGCGCGCACGGAAAGGATTTTCTTTGGCTTGGCAGGGACTTTAGCAATGGAAGTTGACACGCTCTGATTCTTAGGCGCACCCGGAGAGCTGGAGAAGGAAGCACATAGAGGCACACGACAGCGGCGCAGCGCCGACGACGCACATCGGGACGTCAGCATCGATTTGACAGGCGAGGAGATACTGTGGGTTTGCCACAAACTGGATGACTATAGTCACAATTTGTGAAATTTTTAAGGAAATTTCACGCATAAATGTTGTCAAAATGTTGTGTCACTTCCGCAATTTTTGTAAGACAACAACTTTAATCCTAAAAAAGTGAAACGTTTTAATTTAGTAAGAAACATATTTTCACTTTTCTTGCAAGAAAACAGTTAGTTTTTATCCGGTAAAAGTATACAGCGCTGTACGACTCCGGTTTACTCTCGACCACGTCAAGTTGACGGTCAACAGGTTGAGCTTATGCGTAGCTGTAGGTACGCATAAGCTTATGCCAATCGGTCAACAGGTTAAGCTTATGCGTAGCTGTAGGTACGCATAAGCTTATGCCAATCGGTAACCTGTTGACCGTCAACTTGACGTGGTCGAGAGTTTATCTTCATCCAGGAATAGATGGCTATTTCAAAGATGAACCTAGTTTGGCGAGCAAAAGGAAAGAGGGACGAAAGCTTGGCGCGAGCCTCTGAAGTCTCGAGGAGAGACTAAAACGAATACCTCATGTCGATTTTTGGCGGGTCCGAGCGGTTCCCCGTTGAGCCAGGTGCGCCGTATAGCAGCTTACAATGCCATTCCTCTGGCTGGACTAACGATGAATGATGCACATGTCTTACCGCCAGCTCGATCGCCCGGGCCGATCTACGCCAAGCCCGACATACGCGCCAACGCGCAGGTTGTTATGAAGGCCGAGTACAGGCCAGTAGACGAAAATTGGAAATGGGGAAAACGTGAGAGCTGGATTGGCGGTAAGCTCGCTGGCCAAGGAACTTTTCCTACGAAGAGAGCTAATGCATTTGTGTGTCCTGTGCTAAGGTTGCCAGTCGCCATATATGCCCGTTATTAGCAAAGGTACGCCCCATGGCAGTGCGTGGCATTCTTTTGTGACGAAAAGATACTGATACTGTAGTGCCCCCAACGTATATTTCTTGCAGAAAGTGGTCGAGCCCCTGGCTCCTATTTCAACGAAAATATCAATTCAATCAAGACGAGGGCACCGAAGATGTCCTTCCCCCGATCGGATCGTTTCTTATCGCAAAAGGGTACTGGCTCCTGTCGAAGTAGTTGGCGCTGCTGTTCCCACAATTATTCTAACTTTGCGACGTGCTTGGTGCAGTGAGTGTGACCGCGGCGAGTCACCAGCGCGAGCTGATAGCGGCTGAGAGTCCAGGACCAAAGTACAACGTGAACTATTTAGTCGCAAATGGTGGCAAGGCTGCACCCCCTAAATATTCATTTGCGGCCCCACATTCACCCAAGTCTGCAGCTCGTGCTGAAGCTCACAGAACGCGCTTATTCGACGTCGACAGTCCTTGGCGAGGCCACCGTGAATCTTGGTTGTCTGTCATCAATCGCAACGGGGTATTGGTCATGCCAACTTCGCTCTCAAGACCCCGCCAATCGGCAAATCAAGGTAGTGCGACGCCGGAACAAGCTCGCACCGAAGACTCTGCACCTCATTCGCCCAACAACAACGCAAGTGGCAAAAACAGCGGTAATGCGTTCGGACACGAGCAGCGCTTTGGTAAGAGGCAAATAGGCGCATTCAAGCCTCATTCTCCCGCTGCACGTAATACCCGCGTCCAGTTTGTGTCAGCTACGCATTCGCGCGAGAACATGGGCGAGTTTTCGCCAGGTCCGATCTACACGCCGTACAATCCGGAACGCTCCGGAGGAAGATTGGCTCCGTCACCCAAGTCAGCTCGGCGGCAACACCCACCAGGAAGCCCAGACAGTCCGAAGGATCCGCACGCGAACCCCAGCAGCCGCAGCTCGTGGCTCGCTGGTGCAGTCCGTAAGTACGACGGACAGGAGATAGTGTTGCTGCGTACTGGAGACGTTCCTCCTGGTCCGGGCTCGTACGCCGAGCCTCCGTCCTCGTTCGCCACCTACTCACACAACACCAAGGCCAGAGCTAAAGCGATCAGCTCTTTGAAAAGGGTACGGCGTTTGCTTCTCTGCATTAGTTGCTTGAAATTCTCCGCCACTCAAACTCGCAATTTGTAGGCCTCGCGACCATCACCGCGACAGACTGGGGCGACGTCCGCTTGCTCCCTGCGCCCGCGACAGCCGCCATGGCCACCGCGCAAAGGCAGCGCCACAACGAGACCCGCTGAGCCCACATGGCTAGACGATGATCTGTAGAGAGAGACCATTATTACGAAAAAATCGATGGACCCACCTGTGTTTTGCTAGTCGCTCTCCTGTTCTCCGGTTCAAGCGGACTCCGCAACCTTCCTTCGAGATTCAGATGAGACTCACGCGCATGCGGGCTGATCAAAAACGAAGCTTGATTTAATCTTCAGCAAAGAGAGAGGAAGTACTTGTGTCTCGCGTGGTGCTACATGTAGCAACAACAACTTCAACTTGTTGCCAATAGGGCAGACCTGACCATCTGCCTACTGTATCGCGTCGAGATGTGCAGTGTTGCGGTCTATCCTGAAGTCGCCGGTCGCGAGGACTTCTTGAAGGAGGGGGGACCATCGCGGCATTGTCAGGTGACGTATGCTGTCAGTACGAAGGTCAAAGTGTATGTGCCGTGTGTGTCGGGCGTGTTGAATCGGAGAGTTGACGGCGGCATTCATCGTGTACGGTACAGTAGTTCAAATGCCAAGCGCTTTGTGCGATTAACGCCGAGCTCCACGTAGATTAGGCAAGACGAATGTGCACTTTGCGGCGACGCAGCGATCAAGGCAAGAGGCGTGAGTAATGCAGAGCCTATCGTAACAACGGGGCACTCGCCGACATAGCACCGGCGGGCCGTGCAGAGTGCTGGCTGGGCCCTGAGCTCTCTTTTTAACCTTCGCAAACTTTGCGGCAAAGACTCTTTGACAAAGAGCAGAGTGACCTTTGCTTGTTACCAAAAAAAAGTATCAGTTGTGACAAAACGCGTCGCGCTTGGCAGCTTGCAGCCGAGCGCATGTCCCGCGCTCGTCCTCCATGTGCGGAGTTGCCTCTGGCTGCACACATAGCTACGTGTGCACTGCGGAACGGTACATGCATGCGGAATTAGACAATAGCAATTGCGCTACAGCATGTAATGCATGTAATATAATAGCTTACAAGAGTGTCTCTCGCCAAGTGGCTGGTTGCGAGGACACTTACCAACGCGTACAAATGGAGTGCTTTAAGTAAGCCGCCTTGAAGTGCGCTCTTCAGCGCATTCGCCCGGCTACTCCCCATCTGTGCGTCACATTGTGAGAAGCATTGATGGACGTGCGTCAGTCGCGGTGAAGCTCGTTCGATTGCGATTTCATCGATGCACGGACACGGGAGCCTTGCCAGGTTGGTACTCGCTCTCGCCACGCTTGAATAAGGCCTAGCGTTTCGAAAGCGTAGCCATCATTATGCTGTTTCTCTTGAGGCAGCTTGTTGAGAGTATCTATGAGGCCCCCTTCGATGCAGAAGCCAAAATTGACATGTGGCAGCCCAGAACCCGATGGTGTCAGATGACCCCACATCGTATTTTATACCTGTCCGCGGCTAGACGAAGCTCACTATTAATATCTGTAGACACCGTACTCCCCGATAATATCGGCGATATATCCAGGATGCAGAACACTAAGCTTCGTATCTGGTCTCGCCAAGCACATTCTCGGCGAAAACCTCACCGCATGCACACCCGAGAAAGCCGCGAGTTCGACTGGCTATCGTAACACTTTTTGAAGGATCTTCGCTCTCTCCAGGTAAAGGCTCGGCTACACACCCCGACAACCCGACCACAACAAACTCACGTGCGCGGGAAAACAGCAGGCTTGCTCGACCTCTCCCCGCCGAACGGATTCCACCTCTCCCCCTTTTGCCGCGCGCCGTGTGTCGCTCACAACTCCACTTGCTGACTCTCGCGCTTCGGTTTCTCGCTGGAAGCATTCGCCTCCCATTGGATCGGGCGGATACCTGCTAGCAGAGCTCCCGAGTCAAGATGGCTGGAAGTTCCGAGAAAGCGGCGGCCCCGGCTGCCGCTAGCAACAACGGTCTCAACTGTATCAAGTGTGGCCGTGACGTGTCCGAGGCCGACGCCTTCTGCATCTACTGTGGCACCAAGGTGAGCCTCTCGCTCAAGGCCGCGCCCGTGGCTGCCCCTACCGCTCCGGCCAAGCAACCCGAGAAGAAGGCCGAGCCCAAGCCCGCAGTGGCTCCGAAGCAGGCTGCCCCCGCACCAGCGGCCAAGAAGCCCGAGCCCAAGCCGGCTGCCAAGCAACCAGACGCAAAACCCGCCGCGGCCCCCAAGTCTGCTGGCCGTCCGCCTACTAGTGACCAGTCGACGGCTCCATCCAGTGGCAACTCCGCCGCGGGTGGCCGACCAGCCCCGTCCAGTGGTAATGGAGGTCGTCCGGCCCCGTTCAATGGTAATGGAGGTCGCCCGACCCCCTCCAGTGGCAACGGTGGTCGCCCGGCCCCGATGCCCACGGCTGCGTCAGCTCCCGCCCCGGAGCGCCGTTCGCAGCCCGTATCCCAGCCTTATGCGTCTCCTGCACCTCCTCGTACGCAGAGCGAGGGTCGCATGAACGACGGCGCTGGCCGCGGATCGTTGGACGGCATGCCGTCCGACGTCGCAGGGCTCGAAAAGCTCTGGGTGCCCGACAACTTCAGCAGCGAGTGCATGGACTGTAAGACGCCGTTCGGCTTCCCCAAACCACGTCGCCACCATTGCCGTGTGTGCGGTTTGCTGTTCTGTCGTCCCTGTGTGAACCACAAGATCCAGGTGCCGGCCTCGTTCGGCTACGGTAACGCGCAGCAGCGCTGTTGCCGTAATTGTATCACCGCTCTGCAAATGAAGGCCATCACAACGCCCGCCGACGTGTTTGCACAGCGTCGCGGCCCGGCTAGCCGTTCCATGTCTGGCCAGGAGAGCTACGACGTCCTGGGTGTTTCCAAAGATGCCACCCCCGAGGAAATCGCGGCACAGTACAAGAAGAAGTCGCGCTCCATGGATCCTACCAAAATCGAGGACCAGGAAACCCTCGAGAAGATCAACGACGCCTATCGTAATCTTCAGGATCCAAACGCACGCAGCCAAAGCAATTCGGATCGCGCACGTGACTCGAGTTTACTAGGTGGCGACTCCACCAGCCACTTTGTGTCCGAGACGGCCCGTAGTGACCAAACAGAGTGCCAGGTTTGTTTCCGCCCCTTCAAGCTCGGTCGTAGACAGCACCATTGCCGTCGCTGTACGCGCAGTGTCTGTAATCAGTGTAGTGTCGAGTCTAAGCCCATCCCAGAGCTGGGTTTCCCCGTGCCTGTGCGTCATTGTACGTCTTGTAACGAGAGCCCGCCCAAGTTCATCAAGCCGGTCATGGACCCCGTTGCTAAGCCGCCTGCTGGTTTCGAGTATCTGACCAAACTCGACATCTTGGTTAACGTCAAGGCCAAATCGGCCGGCAACACACCCGACACGGAAACGTACATGCTTAAGACGTACTGTGAACCGAACGATGCCGCTGCGAGGGCAGCCAACCACCCGGTCACCGAGTCGGACCTGGCCGTCACTCACGAGTACCAGATTCTCGAGGAGCGCAGTATGGCCGACTTCGAGTGGCTGTTCGTGAAGCTTGGTGAGTTCACGAACCCCAAGGCTCTTCCCTTCTTCCCGGACAAGCGTACGCCGCGTGGCGAGCGCGAAAAGGTGCTGCAGACATTCCTGTACGGCTGCATGCTGCACCCGCTTCTGCGTGACGCCGACAGTCTGAAGGCGTTCTTGGCACTGCCTACGGAACAGCTGCGTCAGTTCCAGAAGAGCGGCAAGAAGACTCTGTACAACACGGACGAGTACAACACGCTCATCAAGTCGCTGCGTCTGGAGCTCGAGAAGGCCCAGATCCGTACTAAGGTGAACGGCCTGATCAACCGCCAGAAGGAGCAGAAGAAGCGTCTGACCCAGCAGGCCGCACGCGCTGAAGAGCAGAAGAAGCGTGAAGCTGCTCAGAACATCCGTCGCGAGCAGGCTGCCTTCCGTTTCAAGGCTCTGGAGGCCCGTAAGGAGTCCCAGACGGAGCGTATGGAGCGCGAGAAGGAGCGCTACGAGAAGCAGTCGAGCACGACCCACATCCTGTTCTTCGACGTCGTCCGTGACCAGTCTGTGCGTAACACGGAAGAGGAGACGCGTATTAAGGAGAAAGTTGAGTTTACCAAGTCTAAGGACAGCTTCCAGCAGGACACAACCCAGTGGAACAACGACATGGCCCAATGGTCCAAGCACCGTGCCGACTGGTCGGAGGCCCATAACCCGGCCGTGTCCAAGGACATTGCTAACGACTTCATCGTGCACTCGTACGGTATCTTCCATTCTTCCAACGACCAGCAGGGCAAGGTGCCGCGCGAGCTCATTGACTTGCACTCCCAGTTCGTCAAGATCCAGGAGAAGGAGCCCGAGCTTCTGGAAGAGGAAGGTAACACCGTCGATGACGAGTGGATGAAGCTAGCCAAGGAGCGTGAGCACTGGACCAGCAGCCGTGCCAACATGAAGCGCGAGGACGAGATGTGCCGTGATGAGGACACGCGCTACAAGCAGGAGCACGAATATGTGCGTCTGGAGGCCGAGGCCCGTCAGAAGAAGGTCAAGACTATCGAGTCCGACCTGCTGGCTCTCAAGACGGAGATTAACGCCCGTACGCGCTCTATCGCCCAGCGTCGCTCGCGTCACCAGGCTCTCGACGAGGAGTACGAGAAGGAGTGGCGTGTGGTGCAGACTCAGCGCATCAACACCACCAAGTCGCGTCTGGATGAGCACGACGCCCGCATCACGCGCGGCAAGAAGCGCACAGACGTCTTTAGCGACCAGCTTGCCCGCCAGACCAAGTCGCAGCGCATGCTTCTGTTCAAGCGCGCTGCTCTTACGGAGGAGCGCAAGGCCGACTGCAAGCTGTTCGACGAGCACCGTGAGGACTGCAAGAACACGCTGGACGAGGCCCGCAACGCTCTGGTCATCACGCCCGAGTACGTGGCCCGTCTCGAGGCCGACATGAAGGTCCGTGCCGCCGAGTTGCATGCCGTCAAGGACAGCAACAAGCGCATCCCGCAGGAGGGTGGAGACGCCGAGGTGGACGAGCGCGACGAGTTCATGAACGACGTTCGTCGTCGCCGCGCCCAGTTCCAGAAGGAGCTGGACGACCAGGCCGCACAGCTTGAGACAGAGAACAAACTGTGCACGTCTCTGCTGGAGCGTATGAACCAGCACATCAAGAACTTGGAGGAAGAGGTGAAGAATGCCGCCCAGGAGGAGACGATGATCTCCGAGTTCAACAAGCTCATTGATACAGAGACTAAGCTGCTGGCCGACGAGGAGTCCAAGCGCGAGGAGAAGAAGCGTCTCATCACGGAGCTTATGAACAACGCCGGCAACTGGGTGTTGGACTCGCTGCACGAGCACTCGAACCGCAAGAAAGTGGAAGCCAACCGTCTGGTCAAGCAGGCCGTGCGCGCCGCCGACTTGCAGAAGCTGGTGCAGCACTTCACGCACCGCGTGATCGACCAGGAGGAGCGTATTATGCGCCAGAAGCAGCGTATCCTCAACGGCGAGCACAAGGTGGAGATGCTCAAGTCCTCGGAGAACTGGTACCAGTACGTCACTGGCCACGCCGCCGACCTTGGCAAGAAGGACATGAAGATCCTCGAGGCTGGCCGCAACGAGCGTGCTGATGACATCAAGGAGTCTTCGCGACTGCAGAAGGACGACGATTCGGACATCAAGAGCGTCGTCAAGGAGCTTTCTGTGAGCCGCAAGTTTGCCAAGGAGAAGGTGGAGAAGCGCGAGATCTGGGCCCAGGTCGAGGACGTGTACAGCGTGTCCAAGCCGCAGGAGAAGGACGAGGACATGATGATGACGTCGCAGATACGCAGTCTGTTACAGCAGCTTGCCGAGGCCTTCGAGATGCTGACCAACCGTCTTTTGGAGGAGGACGAGAGTCTGCAGCACGCGTCTACACAGCTGGAGGGCGAGATCGACTCGATCAACGCCTTCATGGAGCGTATGGAGAGCGAGGAGAGCGCTCTGTGCGCCACTGAGAAGACCTCGCTGGCCAAGGAGTCGCAGGTGCGTCGCTCCGAGGCGGATCTGATCGAGCAGCGTGCTCGCACTCTGATCGACAGCTACAAGCAGATGCAGGCTGAACACATGAAGTACCCGGTGGAGCTGGGCAAGATCAAGAGCCGCCGCTCCGAACGTGAGAAGCCCATTCTGCCGCGTGAGGCTGAGCTAGAGGCCGCCAAAAAGCTTATCAAGAACCGCAACTACTACGACCGCAAGGCGTGTGCCGAGTTTGTTAAGCGCTTCAAGGTGGACCAGGAGATGAAGGAGGTGCGTGACGTGTTCGACTGGCTCAAGATTGTCATTGAACGTGACATTAAGCGCATGGAGAAGTGGCTCGACTCGAGCCGCAAGGAGCGTAAGGAGATCGAGAACCTCAAGGTCAAGGGTAAGGAGATCAACTGGGACGAAGACACGCTGGAGCGTATTCCTGCTCTTAAGGACATCCAGAAGAAGATAGCTCGTCAGAACGGTCCGTCTTCCAACCACAAGGGCGGCAACAATGAGGCCAAGCTGGCTGACGCTGTGCACCCGTCGGAGCAGTGGATTGTAGAGCTGCTTAAGTTCAAGAAGAACATCTCGGAGATCGACTCCAGACTACTCAAGGACATCAGCGTGACTGTCGACTCGGCTGTGAGCGAGGAGGACGTGGTGAATGCCAACCTCAAGAAGATGAAGACGGACAAGGAGTACGTGCTTAACAGCATCCGCTTTATTGACCAGGAGGAGGCCAAGGCCATCCGTAGCACCGGTAAGGGTGGCGTCCCGGGCCGCCACAGCCCCGGCTCGGAAAGTGACAGCTTAGTGAACGGCGACGAGCAGCCGACACCGAAGGCCCGCACTCCTTCGCCGAAGCCGGCACGAACCCCGTCGCCGGCACCGGCGAAGCCGACCGTGTCTCCACCCATGTCAGCGCCGACCAAGTCAACCTCAACACCTTCGCCAGCACCAGCACCGAAGCCGCGCCCCGTCGCCAAGCCTCGATCGGAGGAGTTCTAGATAGAGAGAGGACTGTAAGGAGATCGGTGGTACGCGAGCGGTTTGATGGTCTCCTCTGACGTCGGTATCTATGGGAAAGTCAGGCCGCTTGCATGTTCCTTGTTTTTATTCTCATTTTCATCGCATGTGCTTTTTGGAAAGTGGTTGAAATGCGTTCACTTACTTTTTTTAAGCTTAATTGACAGTTTTTCTGTTGATCGGTGTTTGTTGCTGGTTATTTTGCTTGCTGTCTTGCTAGACTAACAAATGACGATGAAATAATTTCATTGTTATTGCACCAACACGTATTAATACTACGTAGTAAGTCGTAAGCTTACGTTACAGTAGTACTAAGTAATACTACTGTACATGAACTGCATTCTGACTGCCGGACCGGCCGGTGACTTCGAGAGGTACAAAAGCAAGTTGCTCATGCTCGGATTTACACTTTGACGATGAAGATCATCATGAACCCATACGAAAAAGCCAGCGCGCTCTCTTGAATGAAGTTCATTCAACATGTAGAGCTCTTGTTTATCGGTTGTTAGCACAAAGCACTGACTTTCGTAAGTCATGACCTGGTCACATTGACACTATGATAAGCTTATTAATAGTGCAGTGAAATGTGCCGATCAACCAAAGCAAAGGCTTCATTGCACCGAGCTCCTGGGGGCAGCAAGAAAGAATGGAAGATCAGCAGTTTACGTCCAAGCTCCATTGATTGCAATCATTCGTCCGCAATCGGCAGCAATTGGCTGAGCTGTCGGTTAAGCTTATCTTGAGACGGCTCGTGCCTACATGTAAGTACTTGTATTGCTTACCCTTGATGAAAGGTACGTTTGCTGTACCACGCTGAACCTTCGTTATCTTGTAAACTGTAAAGTGTGAAGCAAAGTCGAGCCCATTGTGCACTTCGCTCCGCACCACCGACAGTCCCTTACACCATAAGATGGAGAGCGGCTGGATCGCCCTCATCGTCTTGGTGGGCGCTTGCGTTTTTTCGTGGCTCTGGTCGCTGCTAACGGCGCCACGTTTTAGTGTCCACGGCAAGCACGTGCTTTTCACTGGTGCGTTGGCTGAAACACAAAATAATTGCCAATTCAATTATTTAACCAAGGTCGCTTCAGGTACTGAAACTCCGCTCGGACTGGCAGTTGCCAAGAAGTATGTCAAGAAGGGAGCAAATGTGACGCTGATTGGCCCTGCGATGGAAATTCTCGAGGCAACACAAAGTGAACTCCAGGTGAAACGGCAAAACCTTGACAATTTTGCCAAAACGAAACTAATTGATGGCATTAATTGTTATGTAGAAAGTTGCCGGAGAGAATGCCTCAGTGTTCGTGTTCGAGTGTGAGCTCGTGGACATGGAGCGAGTGGAACAGGCAGTCCAAGAGGCTAACGCCACGAGCCACGGATCACGTCGTGTACGCAGCCAGCAGACGCATCAAGCCCGGATACTTCTGGGAGCAGGATGTTGCATCGATGAAGGAGGCGATGGATGTCAACTACCTTGGTGCGGTTGTCCTTCTCAAGGCAAGTTCCTCTTTATCCAACTTGCTGAGTACAATAGTGTTCTAACCGGTTCTATTACGAGTAGGCTGCTCTGCCGGCGATGATTAAAGCGAAAACCCGTGGACGGATCGTGTTCGTGAGTAGTGTGGACAGTCTCGAATTTCCTGTTGGTTGTGGTGCCTGCAGTGGCTCGAAAAGTGCCATTCGAGGACTGGCGGATAGCTCGCGCAACGAACTACTGCAGTATAACATGTCTGTGGCGGTCTTCTATCCGGGTACATCTTCCTACAACCTCTTGGACACCTCAAAGGGCTTCGAAACCCCAATTATTTGCAATGATGCCACTGACGAAAGGTACGATCTTCTTTCCTACCCAGATAGTCTTTTATTATATGCTTTTACTAACTGGTGTCTTTATTGGTACATGTAGCGCAAACGAGGGCAACATTACAACGGGTGGGTGGAAATGCAGCCCTTTTGTTGTCTCGCAATTAATTGAACTTAACGTAAATGCTATATTGTTGCTTAGGCTATTCCACATTCACAGATCAAAGTCTGGCAGCAACGAAATCGTGAGTCATTTTAATTAACCGTAAGCCTTTGTGCTATGTATTTTATTCACATGTACTCATCTGTTTTAAAACAATTCAGAGTCGACAAGCAGGCGCAGGTGGTTGTTATCGATGGTCTGTGGCTTGGCCAGTACTCGATCACTACCACGTGGAACGGCTTTTTGCTCCGCATGCTCAGCAACGGCGTCGAGCCGCGCAACAACAACTTTCTAGAGTGTATTTTTCCTCTTCTTTGCCGGATGTTATCATTTCTTACGTCAAAAGGTGAAGGAGAGATCGTTAAAGGCACCGCCTCGTGCTGGCTCACGTCTAAGAACAAAGGCAAAAGCTCCATCAGGAACTCCGTAGTCAACGCGCAATAAAAAATCGGATGAAGTTGACAAACGCAAGTGTTTTCTGTAACATTCAGTATCATCGTTCGATGATTCGGTACTCTGATACAGAGTTAATTGGATGGTGGGAACTCCACGATCTTTAGTTGAACGCCCTGAGCTTCAGGCACAATTTGGTCTCCGTTCATCACGCGGTTGGTCGTTGGCTTCGAGTTGGCACTGGAAATGGACGCACCGTTGAGCTTGTAGCGCAGATGAACTAGCAGATTTCGGGTTGCCACTTCGTTGTATTGCTCCAACATCAGTACACTGATTTCTTTTGCAGTCTTGCGTGTCTTCCACAGACGGAAATGTACAAGCTGTCCCGAGAAAACTCGGGAATTTGGAGGAATCATTCCGTAGATACGACCGATTGTACTCCCAATAGCTAGGAACTTTGAGGAGGATGAAGATGCTCCGTCACTTGTAGCTTCTTCACTGCGTGTTAAAGCCGCTGGATGGGGACGGAAACTCAGCACTTGCTTCACTTTACCGTTGAGTAAAAGCATGACAGTCTGGTATGTGGCATCAAACGTGATAGCCACGTGATACCACGTATGCGGAGTCAACGGTGCTTTGGGAAAGCGAAGCACAAGTTCAGGAAGTTGTTCGTCCACCAAAGAAAACTTCCGGAACCGCAACATCCAGGACTCTTTCCCAGTTGCACGAAGCAACTCCAACTGAAAATTATCTAGCGCATCGACGAGAGTCACCACCTCATCTGACGGCAAATCGTCGATACGCAGCCATGTTTCAATGGTATAGTCTTGCTGTTCCAACGGCAATTCACCACGAGCAAACTCGATAAGAAGCTGGGACTGATCACCTTGAAAGCGTAACGCCGCAGCGTATTCGTGTGGCCGACTGCTGTCTTCGTTCGCGTCTTGATCTGACTCTGCAAGTGTCATTTGTCGACGGTAACTACTTGAATGTTTGTCAAACTCTGCAACATCACGCGACGTGGGGATCGACCCTTCTTCTTGAGACGTTGACGAGTCTTCAGCTACTGCACCACCCCCGTGCACCCAAAGCTGACGCACAACGTTGATATACTGGCCCAAGCTGCTTTGGATACGTAATTTGAGATTCAGTGCAGCCATGACAAGACGTAGAGACGGCTCTTTCACGCCTGCGAGATGATAATACAGCGAGGCTCGCTCTGTTGATGCAAAAGAGACTCCGTGGCCTTGTTCGTACATGTAGCCGACACTGTAAAGCGCTCTAGCGCAAGTTCCAGCACTCACTAGGTCTGCGTGTTGATAGTGCCTCAACGCGAGGGCATATGCTTTATCTTCAAAGACACCGTCGCCCATACGCAACAGCGCTTCGACGCTGTCTTGGCCAGCTGCACGGGTCACTAGTTGCGTGTACAAACGCTCCAGTTGCGTCGAGTTTCGACGCGATGAAGTGCCAAACACTTGCCGCTGTATACGTTCGATAAGCCAGATCGCATTGCTTTGCGCGACTTCGTAGCCCATTTCCGCTGCGATCAAGTACAGCTCGAAAGCGAGCGCCCAGTTGCCGCGTTGAGTGTGCGTTAATGCTTGTGTCATGAGCTCTGAGCCTTCACGAGAGAATTCAGCCACGCGTTTGTAGAGCTCTACAACCTCTTCACACGAGACACTGCTCGCTCTAGCGCCGATATCAACGATCTGTCTTTGCTTGATCCGAGCTAGTTGAAACAGCGACTTTAGATGACCCACATGTGCCGCTGCAACGAAATATTCCTTCGCACGTGCAGTATGATACGCTCCCAGCTCGAGAAATGCCATGCCAGTGTTGTAGACACCTTCAGCGTGTCCTGCATTCGCAGCAACCATGAAGAGATTGCGAGCTTTGTCGAGATCTACAGGTACGTCACCAACACCTTGTGAGTAGACCACACCAAAACCGTTAGCAGCTTCGCCACTAGGTCTGCTGTGCGACGCATTCAAGGCAGCTTCGTACAGTTCCATAGCTCTCGTAATATTAACTAAGCACCCAGCTAACCCGTAAGCGTATACGTGACCTAAGAGCGTTTGAGCCTTGATGTTCCCCATTTCAATCGAGCGTTCCAGAAACAGTAGAGCTTGTTGCTCTCTCGTAGCATGTTCGTCGAGTTCGATAGTATTTGTAGTCTTGTACAGATTACTGAATAGAGTAATACTCGCGGACTGGACCATTAGATCAGCGTTACGGAAGTCAGCAGCACGTTGTCGAAGGTACTCAGCTCGATTGAAGTCCTCGGCTGGATTGAGATCCAAGTGGTACCGTACACCTTCCGTCTCTGAAAGTCGCGTGGGCTCTGGGAACGCGTACAACTGGAGCTTTTGGTCGCTCTGTTCGGTAACAACACGGTCTGCGGCGAGCTTGTAGAGCCTCATCGCAGTTGAACATGATTTGACTGAGCTGTAGCCATGAAGTGCACGATACCCGAGTGCCATTGTGGCGCTGATTGAGCTCCCGTGAGCTGCAAACTCGTAGTACAAGTATGCAGATGCACTATCATTAGTTGAAGCTCGCTGAGTGCCGAGTAGGAATTGCGCTTGAGCACTGCCGAGCAGAGCGCTAGCTTGGAGGAATAACTCAGCATGAGTCGCGTTGTGAGGCACGGAGCCACCTCCGAAGAGGTGTAGTGCACCGATTTGGCTAAGAAGCTCTCTACGGTCTTCACGGACGAGTTGGTTGAACAGCGGGAGTGACGTAGTAAGCTCAGGAGGGCCTTCCAGCAAGGCTTGAGCTGTGACAGTGCCTTGGTTCTCGGAAGTCGCTGCAAGCTGTCCTAGTGCAAGAGGAAGACCTCGTTCATCCACTGCTTTAGTCGTTACGATCCAGCACGTTAATAGCACCACGAATGCAACACATCGCATCGCTCTTGTCAGCTAGGAAGAATCCCGTTGACGAATGAGCGGGGCGAGTCGTTCCTCCTACATCGCTTTTGTGGTCGAGAGTAACTTCATGCTGTTGCTCGATATGATGGCAAGATATTGGACCATCACAAGAGATCGCTCCATCCGGGTGGTGAAGAGAGATCTGGGAGCGTGCCTGCTGTTGGTGAAACAGACTGGAATTGCAATATAGAGATCATATGCCATCGAGCTCGTCATCGTCCACATGCAGCCATCTCTCCCTGTTGAGTAGTGGCTTCCTACCAGTCTCTCCCAGTTTAGCAAACCACAGCAACGACCCAATGTACTTTGGGTAACACGTATTGGCTTAGGCAAACGCTCGCGCCAAGCCCAGCGCGACTGCTAGCATTTACAAATCTAATTAATACGACCAGCGAAAGGCAACATCTCTTCATGATCCACGGCGCCGACTCTAGATTCTAGATCCCCTGGTGCGCTTTAGGTTTTATTTTTCTACCGCTGCGTGTACATTGCACGGTGGGTAGAATGCGATATAGTTGCTGGCAGGTTGACTGTCCGCTTATTCCGCCGTCTGTGGTGGCTTATGATCTCTCCCACTCGTAGCTCCTCTTTCGCGTGTTGCGTGTATATTTTCTTCATTACTATATTTACTCAGTGAGTATCCACCACGAGAAAAACCAAGTTGTCGCATTCAATGAAAGGAAAGGAACACTGGTCCTTGCTTGATGGATCGGGCTTCCGTCGTCGTCGATCAGCTCAAATCGCAATCGATCAATTACTCGACCGCCTTGTTGACATTTTCGACTTCCCGCTGGTCCCACCTTCCTACAGCGCAGGATCGACGTCCACTGCATCGACACCAAAGAAATACACAACCTGCACAGCACCTGACGCGTATCTGACAATGGATGGGGGCATGTCGCCTCGGTCACGCAGTCGTGAGTGCACTATTGGCAGCAGCGTCAAGAAGCCACGTCGACCCTCGATGGCAGATCGGGTCCGTGAACTACTTTGCCATTCTTCAGCAAGGACACGGAACTCGGTGGCTGTCTGCAATAACACCATCAAGAGCAACAACGCAACCAACGCACGAGAAGTAAGGATGTCGATGTCTTGGTTACCAGACACGAACAAGACCGCGTCAAAAGAGCCCCACGACGATCTCTGGTTCGAGCGTGAAGAGCAAGTCAGACAACTACAATGCGGCTACCAGTGCTTAGCTGACGAGGCATCAATCTAAAGCGCATGAGGTTAATTGTTGGAAGTAATGTAAAGTCTGCTCGTTCGTTAAATTTACTCTACCGTGTCTCCTTCAGTTCCTTCTGCCTGTTCGTAGTCGTCGAACCCCAGCACTTTATCGGCAAAGCTGAGCGCAGTGTATTGCGGATCCATGGCCAGTCCACCGTTCTCGTCTCCAGTTGCTAGCAACGCTGCAAGGCAACTTCGCAACTCTTCTTCACTCATGGACTCTCCAGAGTTTAACAGACGAGCTTCAATTTGATCCCATCGTAGCGTTGCTGGGCCCTCATCTTCGTTTTCACCCGGACCTTTATCCGCTAAGGCCAGAATCTTGAAAGCACGCTCAATCTGCGCCTTGCCAACGCCAAAAACCGGTCGATGGTTGACATACAGCTTAATGAAATCATAAAGACCGATGCTCTCCACGGGTCGAGACGTCTCGGTGAAGCGTGAGTAGCGCACCTCACTCACCATGTGCTGAATCTCCTCGTCGGTAGGGTAGAATCCCAGTGCACGCATGACATTTGGGATCTCTCGTAGCGGAATTTGAGCACTGATCTCACGAGCAGTAGTGGAATCTTCTCCTTGAACACGAAGTTGAGCGAGGTAGAAATAGTCGACAATCTCATGGTAAAATGACCCGTCCCGACCCCCTTCCAGGAGTGCGAGATACGGCGCAAGAGCCACATCATCCGCGTCCAACTCATCCTCCAGCCCCTCTTCCACATTTCGAGGTGTACCTCGAGCTTCCAGCAAGTCTAGTTGATGAGAATGGATCTCCCACATGTTGACCACCAGATCGTCGCCTCCTGCAGTGAGCAAGTGACTGCCATCGAACGTCACGTCCACGTTGCTGATTCTGCCTGGGTGTGCAATAAGACCCATGGCTTTGTGTGGGTTCCCATCAAGAGGAAGCTTCAGTAGTCCCACCACTTTCTCGAACGTACTATAGACACAGTATCGCTCCGCTACACCACCTGTCGTCTCGGCAGCTATTATATCTGCTTCTCGAAGAGGAACTGGTACTAATCTGTTGATAGGTCCCCCGTACGACGGACCGAGAGTCGTTTTCCGACAGGTTTGATTGCCAGTATTCCACTGCTTGAGCTTGTACTCGTCATTCGCGACTATAACCAGGTCTTCCTGGACACCACGTAGCTCAGGATACCAGCAACATGCAGTCGGTACAGCACTGAGCTCTACACGTGTAGGAGCTTGCTTCAGCACCACACCGTCCAAGATACTTGAGCGCTCGAGACAATACTCAGCAAGCGTACGATCCTCGCTTACAGAGACAAGAACCGGTCGTCCGTCACCGTCTCGTGAAAACTCGAGCCCAGTCACTGGCTTGGAATGCGCTCGACAGCGTCCTAGATACACCCATTCATCGGTATCATCGGAGCCATCCGGGTGAGCTGTCACTTGCTTCGCGCGCCACATTCCGAGGAACAAATTGGCGTCTAGTGCTACAAAAAGCGACGAATCCGGACTCACTAAGACGTCGGTGATGGCAGCTTTCCCGAGACGAAACGAGGCCAGATCGTCCAGTCGATGGGCGTGTACCACCTTGACGACTCCGCTAGTGAAGCCAACGAGTAGTTTCCGACCATCGCGAGCGAATGTAAGACACTGTGGACGCAGCTTCTCGGAGTCAAAGCGCCGGACCATGATAAGACGCTTAGCAGCGTAATCCCAGAGCTGTACGACTCCAGAGTACGAGCTCAGTGCAAGTTGAGGAAGTCGCGGGTGTGTTGCAAGGCCGTGGATTGCGTCATTGATGCCTTGCATCAGTAGTGTGCCTCGTCTTCGGTCAGGCTCGTGCTCTCCGAACAGCGACGCACTCATCCCTACGATGAATGCAGACGCTGTCGATACGATAAAGTCCGGCACGTGAAAAGACTCGTCGGTGTCGTCTCCTTGGTGTGTACCGTTCACATAATTCTCCCCTTCATTTTGTGCACTTGCTGGGAGAGCGAACGACACACTCGTGACGGGTCCAGCGTTCATATCTTCAAACCAGGACACTAAACGGAAGTCAAAGTCATAGAAGCGCACAGCGCCATCACTGGAGCCGATAACTAGATAGCCATCCATATCCACAAGCACAGTTAGAGCCACTTTGTGTTGCGGCTCAGCTCCACCTGCAAGACGCACAATCTTGACAGCTTTACGTTCCGGAAAACTGGTCGAAGCGGTCTCAGCGTCGGTATCGGATTGAACTGCATCCCACAGGACGAGATCGCCGTCTTCTGTTCCCGTGAGAGCTTGAGCCGAGTCAGGTACAAAGAGCGACTGTGTGAAGGCACCAACAACCTGGCGAAAGTCTTTCTGTGCCAATGAAGGAGAGTAGAACAGCAGAGTGCGAGCTGCCCAACTCCAGAAAATGACACGTTGAGGACCAGTAGTGACAAGCTCTCGAACGTCGTAAGTGTTGAAGCGTACAGCATGTTGCACGTCCTCCGTGGCTACAAGAGACGAGTAAAGAGGCTTTGAGACGACAGATCCGCTAGGAGCCGCCCACTCCCATACAGCCAGCTCTTGATCGAACTGCTTTTTTGCGGGTGTTTTACTCTGGCTACTCTCTTCGTCGTCACGGTCGACAGCACTCAGAGTAACGAGAAAGAGCGCGTCGGGTGAGATATCGATCGCTTGGACACCGTTCGGATGCGGACGGAAGATCGTTCGAATCGGGTTGCCGGACTGAGCGTCCCACACGACGAGCATGGACTCTTGGCCACGATCAGCCGTGACTACCCATCGTTTGTCCTCACTGACAACACAGCATGAGATAGGGTGACAATGGCCTTGCAGTAGACGTTGCTGGCGACGAGCGTAGTCGTAGATGACACCTGTGTGTGCTGCTGCGTAGAACACAGCACGACGTGTCCCCGTTGACAGGCTGTGCACGCCACTGATCAAGTCCTTCTGAAACCCGAACGTCCACGCTAGTTTCAACGCATTTCCACTTGCTGCGCCGGTCTCTTCGCCTGCTGGAGCGCTAGAAACAGTCGCGGTCTCGTCGATACTTTCATGTGGGCCGTGGTCCTCCTCCGCCTTGGGAATTTCAACGTGTTGCTGAAGATCGTTCGATTCGGAGTGCTCCAAGGACATGACAACGGACGTACACGCGCTCTCCAAACCCGTTTCTTGGCTGGGGCGTCGATTCAAGTAGACGGACGGACCTTAGTAACGGCAAATACATTGCTTAGATGGCCTTACAGCTAGCAGCGGCATGCAACACTTATACATTCAATCAACTCTTCCTTCAGTCACTTTCACGCTTGAACGTATTCTCCCATAAGCGACGTCGTACGAAGCTGAACGCCGGTTTATTGGGCGTCCAGGGGCCAGCAAACGTTTTGGCGTACGACCAGCCCTGCGAGTCTCCGCGGTTGGAGCAGTACTGCCAGCCTGCTCCTGTCATATTGACGGGCGCACGTGGAGCCACCTCCGAGAAAGTAGCGGACGTGGCCGAGTCGTCGTACGACGACCATTGTTGTCGCTCCGAGTTGTTGGTGGACTTCCAGCCGCTACCCATGGACCAGCTCTCATTCTCCCACACGTACACGCGGCGTTCTTGGTCGTCCACTTTCTTGAGACATACCTCCAATAGCAGCGTGCTGTTGCGCTTCTGGCTCGAAAATTCGCTGGCCAACGAGAGTGGGTAGTTCTCGAGCGTTGACACCTCCATTTCATCCGCAAATTTGGCCACAGGCACCACAAGCGTACCCAGTAGATCGTCCGGGTTCAGTGTGTCCATGTCGTAGACCTCCACGTTAAGAACAGCGCTGGCAGCGTCAGGAACGGGGAACACGTAGTGCTCCGGAGGGTCCCACACTGGGTTTAGCGTGTTCTTCAGACAAGGACTGCGGTGTTTGGTGCCGTTGAGCTTGAAGATCACGTACGGATCGCTCTTGCCGCCCACAAGGCTGAAGTCGCTGGACGGAAGGTCCGTGGCGCCGCGCAAGGTCACGTGCAGGAACGGCATCGTATGGAATGCGGTGCTTCGAGACAAATGCGGAATGCGATCTCGGTGGTGGTGGTATGGCTAAGTACGGTTTCAGATACGGACAGAGTAAAATCTGGACAATGAAGAATAAGGACAATGAGGTTGTTCGATTCGAGAATGTAATTTGTGGAGATTATTTGCTGCTGTTAAATCCAGGTAGTTGTGATCGCGTGGGTACATTTTTTGTTTCTGACCTGCCGGACAATACATGTATTGCAATTGTCACGACAGCTGCACAGAGCAATATCATCATCACCACCAGCGTCTGCTGCAAATTGGGCTCTCTAACGGCCCTTAACGGTCGACTCCGGTTTTTGGCACGCCACGACGCCACGGTCCCGCACGAGGAAGGACATTTAAATATTCGACTGAACGATTCAAATTTTGGTGCGATTTTGGCCTAGAATACATGTGCTCGACACATAGTGAAAGCTGATGCATGCCTCTTAATCACCACCGAGTATCACATTGCTACAGGCAGCATAATATTAAATTTAAGCTGTAGAGCGAACAAAGTCACGTGTACTAAAGAACTTACGGGAATTGAATAATACTGAAGTGCTCTCATTTCTGACTCCGAAACATTTTGTTTTAAAACTGTTTGTCAAGATTGCATTGGTCGAGGCAAGAGTCTTCATATCTACAACACATCGCACAGAGCACAGTAACAGTGTACATGCAACCATCGATGGGCGCACAATTGGTGACCAACTTTGCCGAAACGATATTACTTGTAACATCCAGTCACTTCAACGTCGCTTGACGTGCCTCACGTCAACCTTCCGCTACATCTCGTACTTAGTCGGAAAGTACAATACGTCCAAGTCAACGAGTAATTATGCACTTCATGTTTACGGATTGCTCCGCAGTCCGCATACCTCGCTCTATTCAGCAATTCCCTCTTGCCAAACTTGAACGCCCATGTCATCGCGGGAAGGAGACGTCGAGAGCGTCGTGTCGGCATTAAAATGGGTCGGTATCGCATTGGGCGTGGCCGCCGTCGCATCCGTGGCCGTCGTCGTCTACATGTGCTGCTACCGCAAGAATTCCACCACGCAATCGGAGCTCATGGACGGATTGTTGCGACGAGACCAGCTCGAGGAGACGGAGCTCGAGGACGAAGGCAAAGGATGGCAATGTGTCGTATGCGGTTTGGCCAACAGTGCCAAGCGCAAAACCTGCCTCATGTGCGGCACCAGCATCGGGCTCCTCATGACCGGCGGGCTGGGGCGTCGGAAAAGCTCGCGGATGCTACTGCGTAATAACAGTCGGGGTATCATAAGCGCTGATGTGACCGGAGAAGAGGATGATATCGAGGCTCTGAGGTCTCGACAGCGCGCGCTGTTTAAGCGCCGTATGAACATGATGGCGGCCAGGAAGAACCTGTCGCAGCGGCAACGAGGAGCGTTCCGTCGAAAACTCTGGCAACGGAAACAGTTGTCGGACGGTAAATTCCATTGGGTCCGACAGAACAGCACCGATGCAGTGACTCCTGTACCCGAAGTACAAGCTGGAGATGCAGCGCAGCCGACATTGCAGTCGACGGCAGAAGCGAAGTCACTGGCTGGTCCGAATGGAGAGAGTGTCACAGATTACCACAACCTGCGTTCGCAGGGGTTTGTGTCAATGTATGACGCATCCGGACGGTTGACGTGGACCAAGGCTGATGAAGTTTCTATTGACATGGAATCGTTCGACAAGATGCGCAACGGATTGGAGAAAATGGACTTTGAGGTGAGCATTTCGGACACGTTCCAGTTCTTCCGTTAGAAGGTGCTAACATCTCACTTGTTTATTGTGGGGTGTAGGGTGTCATGGCTCTTAGTTTTCGTATGAAGAAGCAGTGGTTCTTGGTGCAGTTATCCCGTATTGCCACCCCCGTGACAGAAGCTGTCGCTAAGCTGAGTACGTGTACTCAATATTCTACCTGCTTAATACGATCAAAAACTGACTTGACTGATTGGTTTGTAGCGGTAACGAGGGAGCAGATCATCGAGCAATCGCTACAGCTCGCTGAGGTTGCACCCGATGCGCTTCATGCGTATCTGAAGATCACCTTTGAAGGGGAACCAGGTATCGACGCTGGAGGCTTGTTGCGTGAGTGGTTTGGGATTGTTAGCAAGCAAATTTTCAGTGAGAAAATGGGTCTGTTTGTCCCCACAAAGGGCGAAGATATGAGCTATTGGATCGACCCGCTCTCTGGCGAGAAGAACGAGAACCACTTGAAGCTGTTCCGTCTCGCTGGTATCTTGATCGGCAAAGCGCTTTTCGAAGGCGTCGTATTGGATGTGCACTTGGCTCTGCCACTACTGAAACACGTGCTGGGTATCCCAATATCGTTCTCGGATCTTGAATTTCTCGACGAAGAGCTGCATCGAAACTGCAAGTGGCTACGTAGCAACACTCACGTGGAAGCGCTTTGTCTGACGTTCAGTGTGATGCTAGAAAACGGCACCGAGGTGGATCTTAAGGAGAATGGACGCAACGTCGACGTGACGGATGAAAACAAGGAGGAATATCTACGGCTTATCCTCGAGCACCGTATGCTTGACAGCATTGCTGACCAACTACAGGAATTCCTCATGGGTATCTACGACGTGGTTCCCAAGGCACTATTATCTGTCTTCGACTATCAGGAGCTCGAGCTTATTCTTTGTGGTATCCCTACTATTGATACTGCGGATTGGAGAGCACACACCCACGTACGCTACATTAAACCCGAGGAGAACAAGAAGGGTAAAGTCACCAAGGAAGAACAGAATGGAGTTCTCGAGTGGTTTTGGATCGTTGTCGAAGGTCTGGCACCAGACGAGCGAGCGAAACTCCTGCAGTTTGTCACTGGTACCAGTCGTGTGCCTGTGGAAGGTTTCCGTGGACTTATGAGTTCTAGTGGAATTATTCATGAGTTCACGATCCAGTTCGTGTCACGAGGGAAGGAGAAGTCGGACTTGTCCCCTAAGGCACACACGTGCTTTAACAGGCTTGATTTGCCGATGTATCGAGACATGGAGGAGCTGGAAACGTACTTGACTATGGTCTCGCAAATGGAGACATTTGGCTTTGGCCTCGAGTAAGTTGTGGATGCGAATTTTTCAGTATAAATGACATCTCGCGACGAGAAGCGAGTTGTACAGTGTGTGTGTTTTTTTCAACTGCAACACCTTCCTTCAGTTACTTCGTCTGCTCTTCCTGTTTTGCGATGTGTGCTGCAATATCTTGCTGCAACATTTCCTGGTGACGTTTATCTCTGCGTCCATGTGGGCCGTCTAATGACGACGTGAGCCAGCTTGGCGATGTCTCGTTCTCTTGCGGCTGTTCTTTGGCCTTCAGCAGCGCCAAAGCTGCTTCGATCTTGCTCTCGCTCGCATCTTTCAACGCCTCCGACTTCTCCTTACTTGCCTTATTGTCTGCGGCATTCGTCACTTTGGCAGCGTTTTCCCGACTGGTAATAGCCTCCGCCTCGAGTCGTCGGAGACGGTCCCGCATGTCCTGAATGGCGGACGCCAGCACTAAATCTTTGTTCTGTCGCTCCTGGACGAGACTCATCTCAGTCTCCACTTGCTCCAGACGCAGAGCCTCGTTATCTCGGTCCATCTTTTGCTTCACCGAGTACAGATAGAGTCCCAACACCGTGCCAGGCCCAAAGGCGAACAGGCCATAGATTAGCTTTCGCTTCGGAGACAGCAGCTTCCTACAGCGTAAAGAGAGGTAGGATACATCGATTAGATACAAAAGTAGGTGTTGAGTCGCACTAGAAGTATTGTACACACTCGAGAGCGTCTGGAGGAGCGTCCGAGAAGAGCATCTTGACTCTGCCTGCCGCCATTGTTGACAAACGAAAATGCCAAATGAAACTAAGTTCGCCTTAAGTTCGCATATATTGACGCACTTCGTATTCGTTCTCTATTTACTTGTATTTTTCTTCTTTTTATCTTGACGGCAAAGCGCTCGCAGTGTCGCCGTTTACGGCCTTTCGCTGCGTACTTCCGTCATGTTTCTCGCCTTACTTTCTCTGCCTTTTGCGTTGACATCACCCCGCAATAGCGCATGCAATCGCTCTGTGGCTCATTACACTCAGTGCTTCTTGTACACAAACTCATTGGACACCCAAGGCGCGCCGGAGCTGCCCGAGTTGACCACGTCCAGTGTCTTGTTGCGGATCTCGTCGGCTTTGACGCGACTTGTACCTCGCAGCCAGATCTCGTAGCGGTAATTGTTGCCGAGGTTATTCTTGTCCTTCTTGTTGTTCTGTTAAAGCGAGATGTGCGAATCAAAACGGTCAGATAATGGCACATTACGGCGCTAAGAAGCATGATCTCAAAGATTCGTACCTTGTGGATAACTCGAACGCCCGTCACCTCGTTACCGGGGTCGATGAGCTCTCCGATGGCACCTAGCACTAGCTTCTCCCAGAACTCGTCCAGTTCCTGGGCTCCCACCTCTGGCAATTAACGGCAATCAGTTAGCCCAGTACGTACACCAAGGATATAATGGCTTGCACACCTTTCCGGATAGACCATTCGCCGCCGTTTTTGTTCTCTGGGTCCTCCCACTCGGGTACGATGCCGTCCTTGAAGACGGCGAAACCTTCCACCGTTCGGTCCGCAAACTTCTTATGCGTGAAGCCGTCAAAAAGCACCTGGCTGCTTGGCATAATAGGATATGGAGCTTGGGTTAAACATCAATGCTATGTAGTTTCTGCATGTGACTCTGGGTAACCCACCTGGGTGACGGGATGTTGTTCCAGTAACCCCAAAACTCCTCGACAGTGCTAAAGGTACAGAGCTTAAAGAGCTTGTCACCATACGACATATTCTTCCCTTGCTCGCGTTGCTCCCAGACAGCCCAGGGCTCATTTAGCTCGTGCTTCTGGGCATCACCTGACGCCATAGTATCCTCGTGCCCGTCCTGTGCTTTGTTTCAAGGGGGTCGGCGAGTAGATCATGATCTTATTTGATAAAAGTACCTCACCGATCAGCCATTCTATTGGATAAATACTTTGGCCCTTTAGCTAGTAATACTGCCCCAGTATTTCTTTAGCGAATTACACTTGTATTAATAAAAGTATTTGTTTCCTTTAAATTATAAAAAAATTTTTTATAAGAAATGCTCTTCATAGTACTAAAGTCGTACTTTAAGCTTTTAGAACTGTTTAAGAAGAGTACTACGTAAAGTACCACAGTGTACTATTAATACGTGTAGTACTACAATACGACTTACTTCGAAGTACATGTGTACGTAGTATTAGAATTCAAAAATGTTTTGCTCTGAAAAAATTCTGTCAAAAGCGCTTTCCGCAAATCTAAAAATGATAAAGCTATGCTCAGAAATATGATTTTTTCCAGTTTGAGGAAGTAATCTACTACAGTGTACTATAGTAAATCTTTATCGTCAAGTTATGCATAAGGGTGTAACGTTTCCGTCTAACTCCCCGGGCATTCACTCGCCGTTGTACTGCGGTTTGCGCTTCTCCTTGAAAGCGACCAGCCCTTCGATACGGTCCTTGGTAGGGATCACCTGTGCGTAACAAGCATTTTCGATGGCCATTCCGGAAGCGATGTCCACTTCGGAACCCCTCATGATAGCCTCCTTGGCCATGCGGACACCAACCGGGCCGTTGGGTAGGATCTCGCGTGCAAGTTCTAGTGCCTTGTCATACGCCTTCCCTTCAGGCACAGCATAGTCAACTAGGCCGACTTTCTCGGCGGACTCCGAATTGAGACGACGACTTGTGAAGATTAGCTCTTTGGCCTTTGAGATGCCTGTGCAGCAGAAACACATTATTAGAAACCTTCAGTGTACCAACCACCAAAAGACCAGTAGATGGCATACCAATTAGACGCGACGCGCGCTGGGTGCCTCCAGCTCCTGGAAGGATAGCAAGAGACGTCTCTGGAAAGCCGAGAATTGCCTTGGCGCCAGCGATGCGGAGGTCGCAGGCGAGCGCCATCTCCATACCGCCACCAAGTGCTGCCCCTTCGATGGCAGCAATGGTGGGCATGGGAAGCTGCTCCAGGTCAGTAAACCCTGTGCGATAGCCACGTGAGCAAGCCGCCGCCTGCGTGGTAAACACGTAATCGTGTCAGCTTTTATTGTAAGTGTTTCATTCTTCTTTGTGTCCACAATATCGATTACAAACCTCTGGCTGCGTCATACCCAGACGTTCTTTCAAGTCCGCACCCGCGCAGAAAACTCTGGGGACGACGCTACGCAAGATCACGACGCGCACTTTGGTGTCGAAGCGGACCTGGTCCAGCGCGTGGCGGAACTCGGCCATGAACTGGCGGCCCAGCGCATTGCGTGCGTCAGGGCGGTCCATGGTGAAGAGGGCAATACCAGCGTCCTTTCCGCCCAGCATCTCCACCTTGAACTGTGTCGCCTTGGTCGCCACGCTCAACCAGCGGGCTGAATGCAAGCGGGGTGCTCTTAGCATCGACGCGACACTCGTCAGCATCCTGATCGTTATGAAGGGAATTGCCGAATATTCGCGCCAACTTCAAGCAGCTTTTTGCTGATAGATATTGATGTGGTGCACATTGCATTCGTACCTAAGTGGATGGGTAATGTGAAGCTTTTGCTATTGTGTCTCGCTGTACTCACTGTACTAGCATGGTGGACTGTTGAATGACTGGCCAGCCTTCCTCGCGATCGTAATTTATAGTAAGGCATTTCATTTTAGCAAAGTCGCAGAAGAATGGGAGCTTACAAGTACCTGGAGGAGCTGTGGAAGCGCAAACAGTCGGATGTGCTGCGTTTCCTGCTGCGTGTGCGCGCCTGGGAATACCGTCAGTTGCCGGTCATCCACCGCGTGACGGGACCCACCCGTGTGGACAAGGCTCGCCGTCTGGGGTACAAGGCCAAGCAGGGCTACGTGATCGTGCGCGTTGCCGTGCGTCGCGGTGGCCGCAAGCGCCCGAACTCCAAGGGTATTGTGTACGGTAAGCCCAAGCACCACGGTATCAACGAGCTCAAGTTCGAGCGCAACCTGCGTTCGGTGGCTGAGGAGCGTGCCGGAAACAAGTTCACGAACCTGCGTGTGCTTAACTCGTACTGGGTGAACCAGGACGCCACGTACAAGTACTTTGAGATCATCATGGTCGACCACTCGCACAAGACCATCCGTCGTGACCCCCGTATCAACTGGATCGCCAACGCCGTGCACAAGGGCCGCCAGCAGCGTGGCCTCACCTCGGCCGGCCGCCAGGGCCGTGGCCTGCGCAAGCGTGGCCACCGCGCCAACAAGATCATCGGTTCCTCGTTCCGCCAGAACTGGAAGCGTCGCAACACCCTGTCGCTGCGTCGCTACCGCTCGTAAATGTAGTGCTAGCTCTGTACACCCAGAGACTCGCTGCATTTTGGCTCACGATAACCACAAGAACATGTTGAATACATGCGACTTTGCTGCCGAGACTCGGTGTATATTTGTTATCTCATGGTTTGATCGGTCTTCTTGTCTTTTCCAATTCTCCTACTGTGGTAATTTAACAATTGTTACCCAACGCTATGTAATTTATGACAGTGGATTACTACGACAACTGATTGTGTTAATGCTACTTGCCCTTGGGACGCAGGTCTTCAATTGTCTGGCGAATCTGCTCGTCCCGCTTCTTCTTGTGCTTTTCGAAGCGCTCGGCCATGTCGGGCACGTAAAATAGGTCCTTGACGCTCTGTGGCACTGAATCGATGATGCCCGTGCCGAAGAGGCCCCATTTGCGGTTGAAATCGTCCGATAGCTCCGGGTGCGTCATGCGAATGGTGGCGTCTGCGAACTCTTGCGGGTGCTGGAAGCGATAGTACGCCATCATAGACACGGCGGCCACTGTCATGCCCGTGGCCGCTGACAGCGCCACAGCGGCGATGCTGATGCGCGGGCGACCCATGCTTGACTTGTAGACTGGACGGTAAACTAATCCAGACAGAATATTTGGGGTCACTTAAACTTGTTGAATGTAGGCCAAAAGTATTGTCAAATTTATTTTGACTTGTTGACCTAAAATGGACGAGTTAAGCTGCTGCCGATGCGCGAGCATTTGCGAGGAAATGGTGGGCGTTTCACCACAATACACTGCTAAACGATGATTGCTGGTGGATTACCTGACTGTGTATCTGATGCAATTAGAATGCCGAGCACCGGAAGACGATGGAGGACACGATTCGCGTCGTGGACGGATTCTTGCAACATCCCAAGAACGGCTATTTCGCAATTCATGACGGGCATGGAGGTATATGCAATGCGCTTCCTAGCGTAGTTATGTCTGTGAATGTTGCTCCTTGTGAGGTTGCTTTGGACAAGCACTTGACTTGATAAATTTGTCTAGGGCGATCCGTGTCAACATGCCTACAGCGTAATTTGCACGAGATCATTGCCAATGAGATGCAACAGGCAGATGATGACGCTACACTGGAGCAGCAGATTGAGCGGTAAATCCTGAGCTTGATCCTTGTTTTCAAAGAAGATGGAATTGACTAGTAGTGTCGATGTGCTTGAAGGGGCTTCTTTATCTCAGACATGGAGTGCTGCCAGGCGTTTTCTGGGTCGGTTGGAGCGACGGCAGTGACTGCAATATTGCTGGAAAAACACGGTGCTAGAACACTCTACGTCGCTAATGTTGGTGACAGGTGCGTTCATTTGTATACGACAAAGTAACGCTGGATGAGCATTGACTCTGTTCCTTGGTGCTTGCAGCCGTGCCGTGATTAGCTGCAATGGAAAAGCAGTTAGACTTTCGAAGGTGGAAAACCCTTCCAATTTTGATTATTTCGCTTGTCTTCCTGTAAATTGAAGCTGTCCCCTGTGTGTAGGACCACAAGGCCAGTGATCCCATCGAGAATGAGCGTATTATCCAACTAGGTGGCTTCGTCATTCAAGATCGTGTGTGTGGCACACTTGCAGTTTCCCGGTAACTCTCTACGTCACTTTTCGTGTTGGTAGAACAATCTAACCGAAGTATTAAATCATTGCAGGAGCTTTGGGGACAGGGATCTGAAGCAATTCGTCGTCGCGAAGCCTCACATTAGTGCGACACGGTAAGGAATCGCCGGATAAAGCAACGTAGTATCAAGGAGATCTGACATGAGGCTGCTTGTCTACTGCGATACTCTTTTCAGGCTGACGCCAGCGAAAGACTATCCGTTCTTCGTACTGGGATGCGACGGCATCTGGGATGTTCTAAGTGATCAAGAGGTTGTGGACATGGTGGGATCCATACCTATCGCGGAGCAGTCTCGTGCAGCACAAGTTCTTGTCCAGCAGGCGTTGGCAAGAGGAAGCGGCGACAACGTCACAGCAATCGTGGTGTTTCTTTGACTTGCGTGTATTCGACAATATGCGATGGCAGCGTTAGTAAAAAGCCCTAGATAATAGACGTCTCTTCTCGAACCGTCGCAAGCACGATCATAATACGGACAATGGCGTCCTTGACCTGGGAGGACTGCGGCTGTATTCTTAAGCAGGTGAGATCTTTCGATAATATCGATAATGGGTTTTACCCTTGCTCTGCTATTGACGCCCTCGTCCTAGCTTCAAGCTGCTGCTCACGTTGTCCATAGTAACCTGAATCAAGTTTCTGGCGCCGATTCCAAGCGTGGACTACAAAGTCTGTTGCTTAAGATCCTTTCGTGTCTCGAAGAGTTCCGCCATATGATCAACGCCGTGTTTCTTGAAAGCGAAAACGAAGAAAAGTTATACAGCTCTGCCGATTTCACTGAAGAGAAACTAGACTACATCGCAGAGTTGCTGGCTACCACTCAAATCTATACCCGGAACAAGATCCCAACGATCAAGAGCATCCAACAAGAATGCTGTCAGAAAATTCAAGATGAGCTAGCTGCAGTGACCCAAGTCAACGATATTCTGGCGAGTCATAATTTGCCGCTCATTGATTCTGCCAACAATGAGCGCTTAAAGGTGCTTGTCACGCGGTTGAGACAGCAAGAGCAGCAGCTTGCATTCCACCGAGGGCTTTTGAAAGCCCAGCGAGAGCTGTCGAATACTGACAGCGGATATTCTATCGAGAACTTTGCCTTTGGCAGTACCCCGTTCCCGACGTGGTTGAATCTATTCACCCAGAAACCAGTGCTGGATGTGATTGCACGTTGCTCGAAGCGAGCGACGACGCTGACCGTGTTTGGATCGTCATCGGGGTCCCTCGTGTTCTTTGCAAGTCTTGCACTCGGTCTCCGTTCTAATGGGGTTGAAATCCTTGAATTCCTGCACGAAGTTGCCGAGCAAACACGAGAAGATCTACAGATATCTAAGGACAAGTGCTGCTTTGAATGCGCCGACATGCTCGCTGTATCTGTGCAGGAAACGTCGATACTACTGCTCACGTCACAGTGCTGGGACGCAGGATTATACCAGCAAGTTCAGCACAAATTAGAGGCAGAACTGCAACCCGGAACACTCGTCATCGACTACAAGAACACTCTGCAAAGCTCGCCTCATTTTCGCTTGCTACAGCAATTGAATCATCAGCGCGTGTCATGGAACAGCTCGCAATCCTTCTTCCTCTTTGAATGCAAGCCTTGCAGCAGCGAGGAGTAGCCCGACCAGTACATCATTTACTGTACATGTATTGCTTACTTCTGTGCCTCAGTTAATCTAGAAACTTTCATTAGGTATCGAAGGTATCCGCAGGATATCATTCAGTGAAGCTTACAAATATCAAGTGCAACAAAAACGAGCTTGAAGGGGTGCAACCTTTTTTTAACTTCAAGTTTGATTCATTCCGAAACCCGCCATCTTGCGCACACCCCGGCAGAGTGAAGGTCATGCCGCACGTACCCTCACCGCCTAAGACAGTGCTCATCGTGGTGAACGTGTTGCCACTCGTGTTCGAGCGCAACGTTTCGTCTGCAAGTGGATGGGATGTTTCTTTAGCCACTGGTGCCACTGCCATGCTGTACCGCACGCTCGTTAGGGACGCGGACAAGTACTCGCCGCTATACATTGGCTGTCCAGAAGTGTTCGTGGCCAAGAGCGAGGAAGCGGCACTGGAGAAGCAGCTGTTAGCATTGCGCTGCGTACCCGTGTTTCTAGACCCGCCAGTGGCACACCGCTACTTCCAGGGTTTCTGCAAGGGCGTACTTTGGCCTGTATTCCACAATGTCGTCGACGTCTACAACTCCGCTGAGCTGCAATTAGATTGCGAAGAACAGGAGGCTAAGGGAAAGTTTCTGTGGTTTGGTGAGAAGAAGGAGGAGAGCAGCGGTGTTAAAAGCGCATGGTGCGACCCCGTATCTTGGAATCCAGCCGCACAAGATATGTGTTGGTCGGATTACTGCAGTGTGAACAGGTACGTGCTGATAGATGCTGACTAGTGGGAGATAGTGGGGGATTATTAATGCAATCATGATGAGTGCAGAACGTTCGCACGTCGGGTGGTGGAGAGCTATCACGCTGGAGATCTGGTGTGGCTGCACGACTTCCACTTCCTAATGCTGCCGTCGTATTTGCTGCGTCGACTGCGCACAGCATTAGTGACAATGTATCTCCACGTTCCATTTCCTTCGAGTGAAATCTTCCGCTGTCTCGCAATGCGTACGGAGATCCTTCGTGCGATGCTGTGTGCTGATCACATTGGGTTTCTCGTCTTTGAGCATGCGCGACATTTCCTTACGAGCTGTAAGAGGTTGTTGGGACTGGACTATAAGACTTTTCCGAATGGGATGCTGGTCATTGAGTACAACGGACGCAAAATCCACATCTCCTGCTCCCACGTGGAACCAGATGTGACCCATCTGCACGAAATGCTTGACCAGAACGTGGCTGATGTGAATGGCGCCGCATTGGACTTCGCTGCTGACGTTAAAAACGCCATCACGGCAGGAAGAGACCCAGAACAGCGCCGTATTGTTATCGGCTCAGTTGATCGCTTGGAAGGCCTCACAGCTATCCCATTGAAGCTACGTGCGTTCGACCGCTTCCTGGCGACCCACCCGGACAAACGTGGCTCTGTCGTCCTTGTGCAGATTGGCATTACACTCGACTCAAGACCCAACGACTATCACCGCACACGTGACTACGTCTTGAAGTTTACAGAGGAAATCAACCGTCGGTACGCCCCTCGTGGAGGTGTCGTGGTGTACTTTGAAGAAAAACGAAAGACCACGTGTGCTGAGCGAGTAATTCTCTGGCGAATGTGTGATATCTACCTCGACACCTGCGTCCGTGGAGGCCTCTCATTACTCCCGTTCGAGTACATGATCGCACAGCACCGTAATATTCAGAGTAAATCGAGACATCCAACGGGTTGGAGCAGTCCGCGAGGGAATCTCGATGTAAGCGGCTTAGATCGAAGCTTCGGTCTCATGATTGTGTCGGAGTTCAGCGCCTACAGTCGTATACTGAGCGGCAGTTTGGCAGTGAACCCGTGGAAAACGGACGATATGGTCGCTGCATTTGCTAAAGCTTGCGGGATGAGCTACTACGAGAAACACAACAGGTTCTACATGAACTACAAGTTCCTGGTTGGAAGATCTGACTCGACGCCATGGGGTGAACGACTTCTAGGTGATGTTGAAGCTGTTACCGAGAAGATGGAGGATGGTACGTCGGGTGAAGTAGTGCAAGTTGGCTTTGGCTTCGACTTTCGCGTTATGCGCTTCGAGTCAGGCTTTGTGTGTCTGGATGTTGATGATCTGGTGAAGAAATGCTCTAGAACATCGCGCCGGTTATTCATTTTTGACTACGGCGGGACCTTGAGCTCGACTGCAAGCATCTTGGATGAAGAGGGGGCGCAATTCTCACACCGCGCAGGATGTGTGGATCAAAGCAGTCAGAAATTAGATACGAGCGACCGGTCTGGCGTGGATTGCACGGGACAATCTGCTGCGAGATACATTGACGGAAAAGTTCGAAAGCCGATTTCTGACGAGACTCGAGCTAATCTGCAGACATTGTGTGCTGATTCGTGCAACGTTGTGTTTGTTATCAGTAACACCCAGCGAGGGGCACTGGAGGATCAGTTTGGCTCCATTCCGAACTTGAACTTGGTAGCTGAGAACGGATTGTTTATCAAGATAGGAAATCGAGAGCACTGGGAGTGTGTGTGTGATGAAGACAAACGGACCTTCGACTGGAAAGACGACGTGAAAAGTGTGATGCAGGCGTATGCGGCTCGGACAAATGGCTCGTTTCTTGTTGAGAATGCAGCGTCGCTGTTGTACGACTACCGCAATAGCGATCAAGAATATGGAGAGATCCAGTCTCTGGAGCTATGTGCCCAATTGGCCAAGATCGCAGAGGTATGCAGAGTAGCACCTTTTTGCTGTGGTTTTATAAGTATGGTTGTTTGAAGGCTCCGGTGTTGTGCACAGAGAGGAGATGCCGTCATAAACCGTGCCAAAGGATACGTGGAAGTGCATCAATGTGGGGTTAGCAAAGCCGTTGCAGTCTCGTTGATCCTGAAGGTGTTGAAGGACCGGATTGACGTACCCGAGTTTGCGTTTGTCGTCGGTGACGACGAGTCGGACGAGAAAATGTTTCAAGGTTTTGTCGACGACTTATTTGCTACAAGCTTCCACTTTTAACTCGTCATGTTGTTTTGCAGCTGTCCATGCTTTCGCTGAGAATGAGCCACAACTGGAGCATGTCGTTACCTGTACTGTCGGGAAAAAACCAAGTGGCGCCAAATATTATGTGGTACGTGAACGCTCTCGCTTTCAAGCATGTCGTTTGCACAACCGAAGTACTGATTGGCGCGCACATTCAACTGCAGGATAATATGTCGGATATCCTCACAGCTCTCCATGCTATTGCTGTTCGGGTACTGAAGCTATGGTGCTTGCTTGTTGTGGCGGCGATTGATTTGTGTGTCTCGCGATATGTTTGCAGCTTCGTCTGACAAACTCCCGCTCCCGTTTGTTCCAGCAGCCACGCACCTATTGTCGTCGATTTCTCAAGCAGAAAACACTCGTGTCCAAGGAGCTCCTACAAACGCTTAGCAGAGAAATGCGGTCGTCGTCCTTGCTCTCAAATGGTTCCTCGGCCATGACATCGGGCCACGACACGGAAGAGATGTTATTGCCGAGCGTGGCTGAAGCACCGCCAACAAATTGGGTTACAGTCGGTACTGCCGTAGTCGCAGGCTGTATTCTCGGCGTTCTTGCCGCGTCGCAGCGCCATCGTGTCTTCCAACATCTTCAACGCCGGCACTTCCTGCAATAATTTTTTCAACTACCGAAAAATGCCAAAAGAAATGCTCGTTTCTAATCTAAATTTTGCCTAAATTGAAAGCACCAAATCACTGTGCACCTTTGATAACCTTTCGGATATATTGCTGAAAATGTCAAAACAAGATAGTTTGCCCTCCTACCCCCGTATGGATTTTCAGATCTTATAAGGTCTACCTCCGCTAAAATGGGGCGCATTTCTACGTCAGCATGTTTTGGACGCAATTGGCAGAGACTTTGGCACCGCCAGCACTCGTCTACACTCACCAGCCAGCCTCCAGCGACTCCTTCTATTCCATTGCATGGGGCACCCGCCGCCAGCCTCCGAGAGCGACGCGCTGCTGCGGTGCAAGGAATAGTACGTCATTTGCAGTCTTGTATAACCCGCCTTTTGCCTGCTAACTCTGTTTTTCTCATGCATTTTATTAGTGGCACCACAGTTGAGCAGCTCACCAAGGCGCGTTACAGACCACACAGAGGTCGTAGACGTGCGACGCGCTTCTTATCCCTCTTCAGCTGCTTCCAAGTCCTCGTAACAGGCCCGTGCTCTGGTCTCGGCGTGGCTATTGCTGGTCTTTTAGTACTCGTGGGTGTGGCCTGCTCCACCATCGCTTTGGTGGGCACCTACAGTGCCGACGAGTATTTGTTTCTAGGAGCCATCGCCTCTGCATCGTTCACTCTGGTTATTATCGTCTCATTCCTCACCAGTCCAGCAGTACGAGCACATCCGAACCCGCTGATTTTCAGTAAAAGTCTGGTGGATTTATTGTTGGCCTTGATATATGTGGCCGAGTACTGTATCACCGAGTTCTCGGACTCGGTGGCTCTACCATTCCGCATCGCTGCAATCACACAAGCGCTGCTTATCGCTGGGGAGTTCTGGTTCTTCGCTATCCCCATCGACATGGTACAGTCCATCACGAACCCCTTCACGTCGTACGCCCATAATTTCAGGGTCTATTGGTTTTATTCAGTGCTCAGCGGTATCGTCTGTGGCCTGATACTGTGGTCTCTCGGCGACGCGCAGGCAGCATGCCTCAAGACGGGCGATACTAACCCGGACTGCGAGAAAGTGCTCGATGTCAATGAACAGCGCTTCATCTGGTTCCACCATAACACGGACATGCCGGGCTTCTTCTGGCATCAATGGATCCTCTACCACATGTGCGTCGTGGTGTATCTACTCTTCGGTCTTGCGTGTATGGTCTACGTCCGAAGCCGACTTCGTCGAGGACTGGAGGAGACGTTTGAAGTGCGACGGCGAGTGCTGTCGAATGGAATGCTCACGTGTGCGGTGTTTATTTCGTGGTCATTTCTAATGATCTGTCTGTTTGCGATGACCAATTCTGTGACTGTGAAAGCGGTGCTGGGGAAGACGCTGTTCCGCGAACTCATCGACTTGAGCGCGTTCATGCACGCTTCACGAGGCTGCGTCAACATTATCGTCTGGATTGTGGTCAATGCGCCGTATTTCCCTTCGTTTTACGCAGAAGACTCAGCCGACACGACGATACAGTCTCCGTTCGGAAATGGCGTGCTAACTCACGGACCTTTTTCGCCTGCTGGGGACAGCTCTGGATGCACTGAAGCTAGCGAGATTCTGCGTGAGAATTCTCACAAACACGAAGAGAAACTGATGAATCCGCAGCTGAATGTGGCGTTAAGGAAGCAGATGATTCACATGGCGACGAACGGGATCATTGAGTCCGTCCAGCACCACCATCGAATGCGACGCGAAAACGGGAACAATCACACGTTCCAACTGGACTGGCAACGGTCTCCTCAGCGACGTATTAGGCAGTTGGTGTCGTTATCCTCGACCGGCGATGTGGGCTCGCAGACGATTCCTCCGAGGTCAATGCCGATTCTCCGCGCGATGAGGAACTCGACGATTCGAGTCGTGGAGGAGCCACGGGACAACCCGAGCAACATGACGTTCACGTTCATGCCGATGGCTTTGACCGAGATGCAGTTCTACGACTTTCAGCCGCGTGTATTCGCGTCGATTCGACAGCTTTATGGAGTGAATGACGCTGAGTACATCTTCGCATTCCGCTCGACTATCAACGAACGTATGAGCGAAGGTCGAAGTGGAGCGTTTGTCTTCAACACGTGCGACCGCAAGTATCTGGTGAAGAGCACAACTTCGAAGGAAAAGAATGTACTGCTGCGCTTGCTACCGACGTATCTGCGCTATCTCAAGTGGAATCCTGGCACGTTGTTGCCTCGCTTTTTCGGGTTCCATGCGATGAAGATGTACGGCCAGATCTTCTACTTTATCGTGATGGGGAATGTGTTAAGCACTACAGAAGTGATCCACCGTAGATACGATATCAAGGGATCGTGGGTTGATCGCAATGCACCCGCTTGTGTCTTGGGAGAGAAGTACCGTTGCTCGAAATGCAACCGGTTCTTCACCTTTGGAGGTGCACCTTTTGAACCGTGTTTCTTACCGGATGAAGAGCATTACCCTGACATCACGCTACGAGACAATGATTTGAAGAAGCGGCTTAAGTTGGACACAGACACGGCAGTCAAGCTCGTGAAGCAACTGACTCGTGACAGTAACTATCTCGCTAGTGCCGGTATCATGGACTACAGTCTTCTCATTGGCACACACTACTCGCATTTCACTATCACGACCGAGTACAAGCGTGGCATTTCTCGTCGAAAGTCAGTGGAACTCACCGCGTATTGCTCGGATAGTCACGAACCGAAGCCTGACATGGATCTGCTCCCTCATTTCAACGAGAATCGCCGCTCTAGCTTAGACGACGTTGTGCCGGAAGGAACGAGACCCTCCGAGTCTTCTGATCTTTCGTATGGAGGACGCTCGTCTGATCTGTCGCAGGGACCATCACATCCCGTGGAGCGACCAGTGTATCCTCAGACCCACGCATACCACGCACATCAAGTCTCTGGCCCTAGTAAGTACTATTTCGGCCTGGTCGACATCTTACAGGAGTGGACAGTTGCGAAGCAGGCTGAGCGTGCCTACAAAGTGCGTGTATTACGAAAATCGCGTAAAGGGGTCTCTGCGATCCCGCCCAAGCCGTATGCTCGACGCTTCCAGCGGAAAATGAAGCAGCTTTTCATCACGATGCCGACACATCCGCTCGAGTCGAACGATGAAGATGCGCTCGGTGAGATTCCGGCGCATCAAGTGTGAATATTCTACATGAGGGGAGGAATTAGCGGGGATAACATTGTCACTCCCGCTTGTTTGTTAAGGAATTGACGTTCATAAGGCGCCAGAAGGAACACAAGGTATTAAAAGTCTTCTTATAAAAAGGAAGCCATGTATTTTTGTTGATTTTGAGGTATTAGTTCTTTTTTTGACGCGTAGGTGAGTGATGCTCCCTCCATTGAATTTAGCGGACGGCAAAGGTGGTTTCTTCTCTCAGAAGCGTGTGGATGGAGGGGAATCTACAGGAAGCAACAGCTCAAGGAAGCGAAATATCATCCGACCGTCTCCACGTTCGACCATTCACGTGCCAATACCCAGAACAAGTCGAGTGAATGATGAGCATGATGCAAAGTCTCTTAGTCGAGGTGACAGTCCAGAGATGACGGATATTTCTATGATTCCACGCGAGTTTTTCGTTGTGGAGACCAACGCTGTTCTCCTGCCTCAAAACTACCCGTTAAACCAGTACAAATCGACTCTGAATGCTCAAGGACAATGGGAGACGGTCGTGTTTCCAGCGTTGACCCCTCAGAACCGACAGCAAGTTTTGTATCTTCGACAAACATTAGACAAGATGCGTGCTACCATGCCGCATTTTGAGGAAAAGAATGAAGATTTTAGCTCTGAAACAGACTCGGTGGTGGCTGAAAGAAGACGCTTGGTGATAGATTACACAAGTCAGGAGACTCAAATCTACTCTTATTGTTTCCACGAGCTAGCACGACAGATAAAGTGTATCTGCAAAGAGCAGAGTGAGCTTTTACATGAGATTCGCGAACGCTACGACGCAGCGGTGGCTCGTCTTGTCGATCAGCTGAAGAGCGTAAATCAACAGAGCAATCAGCAGCAAGATCAATTGGCGGATCTAAAGATGCAACTCACATGTGTACAAGAAGAAAATGAGCAGCTTGAGAAGAGAACGAAAGAGCTTGAGCACCAAATGAAGACTGGGCCTTCTGTTACAGCAGCTCAGGAAGCGTTTAAGCTGCGTAAAGCTCGACGTCAAACACGCAGTTCATTGACCGAAGATTACGACGACGAGAAGAGTAGTGACAGCGACATTGACGAGGATGAAGCAGAATGGAGACGGCAACGAGACGCTGCGTCGATCAAGAGACCGTTGATTAACTCAAAGCGAGACTCGACCAAAGAACTCAATTTAGCAGCGACACGACTGCAGGTAGCATTCCAAAAGTACCAGACGCGGAAGGAGCAAACTCGCATTACTATTCGGGTGGAGAAGCAGGCTGCGGCGATGGATATTCAGCGCTCATATCGAGGCTTTCGTGACCGGCAACTAGCACTGCACCGCCGAGCTGTCATGCGTACGATTCTGCGTCGTCGAGAAGAGAATGCAGCGGTTGAACTCATGCAAGCCAATGTCCGTGCGTACCTACTCAATCGACGACGCAGTGCTAAGCTTAAATCGCCTTCAGAGATTAAGCTAAAACTCACCGATGACAGTGAGATGACACTTGTTATCCCTACGCCAGCTCAGAACCCAGAACCAATTATTGAAGTGGCGACACCTTTGTCGATTGAGAAGGACGAGGACGCAAACGAGGAAGATACCTGCACGCAAGAAGCTGACGATGACACTAAACACAATCCGAGGCAAACGCTGATCCGGTTGCTTACAACGTTTCGCGAGCTGGCGTCTGTCATCACCAAGTTCCAACGTGAAGAAGCGCCGAACGTGGACACTATAAAGTGTACTGAGAACAAGTCGACCAAAGAGCAGAGAGACTTGCCTTCTCGACCAGCCAGTGTCGCTCCATCAGAAACACTTGATGAGGAGGACGTTGAGTTGTTCCAGCAAACGATGCAAGAGGCTCAAGCTCTTGTAGGTTCGCTTCACATCGTGCTAGGAACAGTTCCGGAGGAAGCATCTGAAAGCGACGATGAAGTATCCTCGGACGACTATAATGACGGAGAGAATTATGACGACGTGGCTCAAACGGATCTACTCGATTTTCTGGGCCAGACGAGCAATTACAATATCGATGAGGCTCTGCAAACAGACATGGAAGTCAAGTCCAACGGCACGCTCGATGGCGACGACAACTCAGTCGACATTCCGTTCGGGGAACGCGAAGCAATGCGACTACAAAACTATGCTGAGCTGCATCTGGATGACAGTTTATGGAGCTCGGTAACGTATTATCCTGCATCCAGACAAGATATGGCCGAGGCCGAGTCTCTATTGACACCTGTACTAGCATCACGAGAACAGAGGAAAAGACTTGTCGTACTGAAGCAGTTTATGTCCGATATCTACGACACGATCGTCGGGAAGGTTAAGGAGCTACCTCCGCGTCATCTCTTCGAGCTGCTTGCCTCTCGCTGTCACCTCGCCTTATCCTTCATCGAGTGGCGTCAACAAAGATCCCAGCTCTTCTCGAGAGGTGTTGCTGCCGACCAACCGGCAGACCAGATCATACCACCCAATTTCAACATCGAACAGCTCACTCGAGAGCATTTCCGCTGTCGATTAGGACTACCGCAGTTGATTGATGCAGCACTAGCTAATCTTCTCGAAAGTATGAAGGATTTCGCTTCCATCGACCCGGATGTCAAGCGTTTCCAGGAGTTTATGGCTAACGAGCGATCAGAAGAGGAACTCGTTTTCTGCTGTCTGTGTCGGTATCTCTGCGCACATCGGCTAACCAGCGACGAAAGGCCAGCAGGAACAGCCTCTTCGTCGTATCACCGCCAACCCATGCTCCACCCTGTTACTATGCGAGAGATCATTGATGTTCCTCACGTTCTGGAGCTTGCAAAACTATTATTCCGAGTCCAAGATGAGAGTTTTATTGTGGAGAGTGACACTCCATTTACTGAGATTGAGAACGTCGTGTATCGACAATATCTACCGACCAATGGCTACCACCAATTCGAATCTATTGTGTCATCGTTCTTCATTGATCCTGACAGACAAGCGGCTGTAGTCGCATCAACCATAGAAGGAGGCGATACTGACAGTCCGATACTTGCTGCTTCTTGTCGACGTCCCGATGGCTCTCCTCGCCGTGCTAGTACCATGATACGACCGACAAACTACAGTCAATTCCACTCAAAGCAACACAACGCGCAGGCTCCTAGAAGCCCAATTGTGCGTCATCAGCAACGCAAATCCTCGCAGTTTTCGTCTCCTAATTCGTCCTCAACCGAGCTGAAATGGGTCTACTTTGAAGAGGTTCTGGCGTTGCTTATCAAGTATCGCGGTGAGATGAACCACTTCCACCTCTTCTCGTACTGGGTACAGGAACTCTTTAACCTCGCAGCAGCAAACACAAACAGTGATACTAACGCTACACGAGGACGAGGAAACGCTGTTAAGTTGCTGGACGATTCAGCGTTTGTCGAGACGCTCATGCCGCTATCTCTAGGCCCATCAGAGCGGGAGTTGAGGAATATATTCCACAACTCCTTACGACAACGGAAGCTGCACGTGTACATGCCTCTGCGTGTGTTCACGTCGGTGGCTTTACTGCTCCTGCGGAATGGTCTACTGAGTGTATCGACCTACGCTCCCATGCAAAAGCCTCAGTCTTACAATAGAGACTCCATTAGCACACGACAGCGATCTCTCTCCATCCGAGAGGAGAATGAGGACAAGCAGTGGCGAGCTCTCGCGCTCAAGTGGCGAACGCAGGAGTCATCGTTCGAAGCAGCCATCGAGGCCATCTACCACGATCCAGCACCGGTTTATACCGAACAAGCTGATGCATCTACTGCTCCCGCACGCGTCGGAAAGACTCGAGCAGCTCATGCATTACAGCTGTTGCAGCTCCGACAAGAGCTCTACGATTTGTTCGCCAGTCGATCAGGTAGAGGTCGAGACCTCAAGCGTGCTTACGAAATCTACGAGATTCTAGTAAACGAGCGACTTGCACGTGTAGGAGGCGACTGTAGGATGCTAGAAGCCCAACTAGGGCCATCCGCAACGCTCGGGACGTGGTCAAACCACTAACTATCAAATCACCGCATATTTCATGATTTATGCAAAGATATTGGAACGGCCAACGCCTCTTGGTACACTTTTGCGATCTAAGTTTTGGGGCCGAGTCGGACATGTCCTTCATGGATCGACTTCCATTGATCGTAGTCGCTCTCATCGCCGCTCTGGCTGCGGGTGTTAGTGGCGATGACCTCAGTGTGGTGAACGTGCCTTCGGGTGTCACGACTGTGATGCTTGACGGCCGTGTGGAGCTTAAAGTGGATACGTGGGTGCCTCCAAATGCCCCACCGATGTTCGTGGATCTTAAGCTAACCGACAGCAATGGTACCAAGATGGACTCGCTTGTAGTGCCGAGAACACTGATCTTCACACACGCAGAAAATGCCTCGAAACCAGAAAAGCAGAAACAGAAATTCTCATTGTTTGGCAAAGTTCCAGGGCGGTTCTACTTGGACTACGGCCTGGGTGGCACCGATGTCGACGAGTATTATCGTCTTGGGGCAGAACGATCGGTAGTTTCCATCGCTGCAGGGAGGGAAGAAGGGTGGCAAGGGATCTGGTTCCAATTACTATTCAACAGTGTGATTTTCCTCGTAGGAATTTCATTTTTTGCTTGGAGACGACTGCAAAAATTCGATCTGCCCATGTGGATGGGGCACCAGGAAGCTCTGTTTGAACGCAGCAACTACGACGACATCTCGCCTGATGTGTTTAATGCAAAGTATGGCGAGCTGCAGGGTCCAACATGGAAAGAACGGATGAAAAAGTTCTGGAATATTTCGAGTAGTGGGGACTACGTGAGCTCTACGTGTGGAATTCCAGCGGCACTTATCATGAACTTTTACAGAGATTGCGGGCATTTGTTTGTATTCCTCAGCTTCTTCAGCCTTGCTGCGATGCTCCCAGTGGTACGTACAGCACGTGTCGACTGGTACTTAACAGTACTGACCTAATTTTTCATGTAGAATTACATTCCAGGTAGTGCTCGTGGTCAGAAAGGTGGAGATACGTATCAAGCCACGACGTTCAGCAATGTGCCGCTGCATAGTAATTGGTATTGGGCTCACGTGGCTTATTGCTACTTAGTAGCGTTTGCGGTGCTCAGGCTCTTAAGAAGACAACACGAAGTCGCGTCGACGCTACGCAGAAGAGCGAAACATATCGTTGGCGCTCGAAGTATCTTCATTCAGCATGGACTGCCACTCGACACGACACACACTTCGTTACTCGAGGCGCTTCGTACGGCAATGCCTTCAGACGGTTCAGTACATGAGATCACGGTACTACGGGACCTCAGTGCAGTGCACGAGCTACTCGACCGACGAAAGCTTCTTTCGGAAACATTGAGTCGGATCCTCGCATTTGACGAGGCCTACGAGAGTGGCACGTTGTCCTACAACTTGCTGTGTTGTCCTGGATCGGTCATGGCTCCAGAGCCGCTGGAAGTGGCGTGGTGGCACTTACGTTGCAAACCTGGTCGCTACGTCTATCGACACGGCAAAGTGACCGACTGCTTTTGCTACTGCTGCACGTGTTGCTGTCCGAAACACAGTCCACGACTGAAGGTCAAGCGTGGCAGTAGATCGGACAGTCAATACGAAACCGCGTACGAGAGTTTGGTGGATGACAACGCAGTGGAAGCGTACGACCGAACTGCAGCACGACAGATCTTCGCTCTAAGAGAGGAGCTCGATTTCTTCCCTGAAGACGCATTAGAGGAGTTTGGCAAGAGGAAATGTATGGGTGCAGCCTTCGTCATCTTCGACTCCACAGCTACACGCAACGCCTTTGTCCGCAATGTCCGTGGCCAAACCTGCGTCGGTCGCTTAGTAAACACTGCTGAGTCTCTCTCACGACGAGGATTTCGAGAGCGACCACTAGCTTCGCTGCGGAGACCGGAACGTTCCGTGTCGGAAGACCTCGCTCCTGTGCTCCGAAAAGTAGTTCTGAAGAGCGCACCGGAGCCTGACGATGTCATCTGGCAGAGTCTCGCGTATCGACCGTACACTGTTCGTCGAGTAGTTGTCTTCTGGCTACGTCAGTTGGCTACATTGGCTATGCTGCTTCTGTTCTCCACCCCCACAGCAGTGCTCATGTTCATCAAGCTCGATTCAAACAGCGACGTGTATCGAGGCCTGAATCACCGCAACACGTTCCTACTCACCATGGTGGCTTCGTATCTGCCGTCATTGCTCTTGGTAAGATTGTTGAGGTTTTCTATATCTTTGATAAGATGTTCCTTACTCATTGTTTTGATGCTGTAGATTGCCGTGAATTGGTGTTTGCTGGCGTTCTTGTATCAACTGACAATGTCCGAGCCTTCCTTCAGCCACTCTCGTCGCGTTAAGAGCTTCCTCGTCAAAGGTTTCGCTTACCTAGTTGTGGTACGTTGTGTACACGTATTTATCGCACAAGTGTCGTCACTCATTCCTCTGTCTTGTTACTTCTAGAGCTCCGTGATCTTACCAAGCATCGGTGTGACGGCAGTGTATCTGGCTCTGTCGGATCTCGAGAAGACTGGCGGTCGCTCGTACATCGAGTCGTTCTTGTACAAAGTGTCGGGCACGTTCTTCATCTCGTATGTTTGTCAGCGTACTTTTCTCGGTGGGATCGTCGACATAACTCGATGTGCAGATACAATGGCGTTGCAGCCTTGGATTCATTCCCGTTCGATCACTTCTCTGGAGATCCAAAAGGCGCTTCGGCCAAGTGCCTTTCCCTACGGCCACGACTACGCACTCGTGTTGAGTGTCTTTCTCGTGGTCTTGCTGGGTACCGTGATCACGCCTATCATCACACCATTCGGCGCTCTGTATTTCTACGTCAAGTTCGCCACTACCAAGTATAATGTCTTGTATGTGCTTCCGTACAGTCCTGGACGTGGTCATATCGCGGGAACGGCTCTGGAGCTCACGTTCGTGTGCTTGATAGTGTTCGAAGTGGTCATGTCGTTCGTGTTCCTGCAAGTTGCTGGTCGGCAACAGTTCGTAGCGATGATCGTGTTGCTGGCAGCCACGAACGCCGTCTACTTCTCTCGATTGTCGGGCGAAGACGCGTTTAGACTCGTTCAGCAAGGGTTTGCCGACTTACGAGGTGACGCCAGAGCGTCCGAGTACGCGTCGATCTCTGTTCCAAAGCCACCAGGTTCCAGACGCTCCATGTTCGGTCCGAAGCCCACGGATCTGCAGCATGAAGAAGCTCTCGTTGCGTCGTATGCTGATCCCTACAAGGCGGCGCTCTCCATCTTCAAACTGCTGGATGTCAACAAGTTCCATCAGATGACGTCCACTAAAACACAGCTTCGATACGCCTTCATCAAGCTGCGTCGCTGGTCTCAACGTCCGATGCCTGAGCCGGAGCCAATGAAGAGGAAGTGGTGGCAATGGACCAACAAAGAGAAGACTGCGAAGACTTCAGGAGACAAGATCCTTCGCGAGAAAGGCAATCGAGGCTGGTGGCGACGACGTCATAAGGATAAACACGCTGAGCTCTGAGCAAATACAGTGAGTGCATTTGACAAGAGTAATATATAAGCATGGCCACCATTTTTGAGTTTTTGAGATAAATACTGTGCCCATCTTGCTTCCCTTCGGGCGAATACAGAATGGAGAGGTAGGAAGCTGTAGGCAGGGCAACCTCTTAAGGCCACATAGTGCCGATGATGGAGGCGGCGGCGTTGACAATTAGGCAGCTGATAAAACTGGCAGGCAACATGAGGAAGAACGTGTGGACCCACTGCAAATACACACAATAAACGTCAGACGTTGGTACTGAAGAAGACCTAGATGAGATCGCGTACATGTTCCTGCTGAAGAATTTGGTCGACACGAGGCAACGGAAACCCAAAGATCTTCTTCGAGGCGCCAGCAACTGATAAAAACAAAGATTAGTGGAAGTGTAGCGACAAAAACCTGGAGGTTAAACTGCGTACTTGTGGCAATAGCGTCTTGTTTGCACAGTGGACAGCGTCCACTTCGACCTTCGAGCCACGGGTTGATGCAGTCGACGTGGAAAAAGTGTTGGCACGGCAGAACTTTAACATCTGCTCCGTCTTCAAAGTCGTCCAGACAAATCGGACACGTCTCTGCCTCCAAGTCGGTCGAGCTCCGATACGCAACTCCGTCCGTCTGCAGCTCTTCTTTTTGCTGCGTTTCCTTTTCTTCTTCTTTCTCGAGATAAATATCATCAGAGACGGCATGTCCCGTCTCCTGCGAGCTTGTCGGTATCTCAGTATGACTGAAAACTGGTTCCGTCTCCGTATGTCGGTCGCTTGACTTCGAAACGTCTTCGATCTCAGCGAGTGGGATGCGATCAAGCACGAATTGCTCTTCCAACAAGTGTTCCAGTAGAGTGCGTTGCATGTTGCGCTCGTACTTAGCGATCGGCAACTGCTTGGCTGCACGCGTTCGTCGCGTCCTGCCCACCCACTGGAAAATCGCCGATGATAGCAAACTGAGGCCACTGGAGAACGCGCAGACGATCGAAATGAGGAAAATGTAGGCGATCACGCGCTTCAACAAGCGATTGGACGTCGATGCTTGCGGTACTGCGTTCAATAACATCGTCAGTACTCGATTAGGTGCACGGACGTGGTGTCTGTGTGAAGCTTACGTTCTCCATTACTATCGAGCGTGATCCGCAGCGGATTCCAGGGAGCAGCTCGACTCCTGGCGGCCAGAAGCCACTCGCCAGACGCGTACGAGATGAAGACCGACGGGATGCGGACGCTGCTCGCCATGTCGTCCTTCATCATGATGATATGGTAGGGAGGTCTGAAGTAATACACAAGGCGATTAGAATTACTACACGTAAGCAGCGGAAGAGTGAGACGATTGGTCGTACTCGTGTCGCAGCTCGTCGTCCATCACTACGACGGCAGCTGCGTGGGCGCGTTGGGCGTGCCACACTTTCTGCACAAAGTTGCAGTCGCCACGCAAGACAAGCGCCACTTTGCCCGTCAGATCCTGTCCACGCAGCGGCTCACATGCCGTGAATGGGGTCACTACACATAATACGTTAGTGCTAGAGCATAGTGAGACGATACTACAGCAGTGTATTTACCTGGTACGATCCATACGTTCTTCAATCCGCCATTCTCCAACATCGTGAGGTTGGTGAACTCGCCGGAGCTGCAGTTGGACAGAGTTTAGTCAGGTTACTGTGAGTATACGAGCATTTCCGACTGCAAGTTACGTACACATGTGTCATTAGTCGGCAGTCCGGGCTGGTTGAAAGAAGAATAACGTAGCCTGGTTAGTACTCCATGCAATGATACATTTGCAAGCAATGGAAGCGAAACGTACCTCTCGATCACGAGCGCGGATGCGATTGACGCTAACAGCGCCAGAAGCAGCGCCAGCGATGCCTGCGACCGACACATAGTGCTCTGCTCGAGAAACGGCGTAAGCGAAATTGGCGAGTGGCTTGACTTGTGCTCACTATGTGATCAGTTGTGGCGTCATGCGGTACAAACTCGGACGTAGCCCGTAAGCGCCACATGTGGTCCACACCAATGCTGTGAATAGAATATTAAACTTGAAAGTTGTAGGTCGCTGAACAAGCTTGGTCTACCTTTTTAGTGCGCTCTTGCAGAGAGGATTCACTCAGCATTTACTGTTAAACTAGTGGAAGTGTGTATCCTCCGTGTATCCTACGTGTTTGTGTGTCTAAAGCTGGACGGAGGAGGGCTCATTTGCCCTCCGCTAGAAGTGCCTTTGCCCCATTTAGCTCCCGAGGGGCAGTCGAGCGACTTTGTCGTTTGAGGCACGATACGACCGTCCTACATCGAACAAGTCTTGGTCCTTCAGGGTTTTTATCTCTTAGCATTGGGTGTAAGAAGTATGTGTGACCAAACATCATAGCAGTTCTTAGATGGTAGATGCATTTCTCTTACTGGTTGCAACCTCCACAGTCTGCCAACGCCTTGGGTTTACTGGTAATGACCACTGGGGCTGTCAACTTAATGGACTCTGTTCTTTCAGTGGTCTTTACGGCTTCAGTCTGCTTGAATTCCAAGTTGGAAGGGGGTGTTGGACGCGTGCGAGTCTCGTGGATATGGAGCACTAGCTGCCGCACCGCGTCGAAGACTTTGAGTGCGCCGTCCCATTCCCTCGCACGAGCGTTGAGCTTGGCGGTTGTGCGTGCGAACAGGAGGTTTTGAGCCTCGCAGAAGGCTTTGACCTTGTCTGGTTGTGCGTACTTGGCAGGTCTCGAGTCTTTTGGTAGTTTGTCCGCTTTGTTTTCCACCACCATCGCTGCTGTAAGCGAGTCGCCTGCAGTCTCGCGTAGCGTATGCAGCCATTCACCGAGACGCTCGAAGCTCAGGGCGTCACTGACGTCGTACACGAGCAGGGCGCCATCTGCACGACGGTAATGCGACCGTGTGATGGCCCGGAAACGCTCCTGACCGGCAGTATCCCAGATACGAGCCTTGATGTATTTCGTGCCGCTGTAGTCAAAGGGGTCCGGAAACTCTATAGTGCCAAACTCCGCCTCCAACGTTGGTGAACGTCGATCCTGCAGAAACAGCGGCGTTAGTACCAAGCGTGAGCTTATTCACGTCCTTAGATCACAGTACCATGTACGCATCGTCACCATTCGCTGCCACAGCCAAGAGGCTACTCTTACCCACACCTGCTGTACCCAATAGAATGATCTTGTACATGTGGTCCCCTGAAGTCTTGGTAGGCGACGACGGATGTCGTCGCGGAGAAGACTGTGAAGAACCTGGAAGATGCGCGATGGCAGCTGAGAGTGCATCGCCATCCAAGCGCAACGAGTCTCGTAGTTCGTGGCGAGTTACGACACCCGCTTCAACATCCACAAACCGCAAAGTAATTGGCCGCGGGGTTGTCTGCAGACTGCGTATAAATCAATCAGACACAGCTCTGTTAATATTCGTCTACAGAGCTTGTTCACCTTTGAATAATCTCTTCACAGGGCACTTCAACCAGATGGTTGTCATTGATGTGGGTCAGATACAGCCCTGGCCGTAGCGTTAAGTGCTCCTGGCCAAGCTGCAAGTGCTTATTGTACTGTTGCGCAGGCCCGCTGCCGTCAGCTCCCTGTGCCACTGTTAGGAGTATTTACAGTACGCAACTGCAGGTGAGTCACTCACCTTGGTGAGCTCTAGTAAGCGAATTGTGTAGATGCCATTGCCTGTGTCCGGGAACTGGGCAGGGTGGAAGCGTAGTCCGAGCTTCTCACTAGGGAACTTTACACGAAAGGCAATCTGCCACGGTAGATCTAGAGGCACAGTCGAGAAGATGGTCATATTGTCAATCAGTAAGGGAAGAATGGCATCACGGAGCGTGAAGAGCGTACAATCTGAGTCGTCATCAGTTGAAAAGGCTTCAGCCGGTAGCAGAGATGAATGGCGTCGTTGACTGGATGGAGAGGACATGTCTGATCGGCCAACTCACCCCAAGCAACTCGGCGTCTGTTTGTCGCTGACGGTTTTGCGACGGTTTGTTGTCCTCGACATCAAACAAAGGAAGAATTTCACGTCGAGAATGGCGGAAGAGATCAACATACAGGTCTACATGAAGGGGTTGTCCCGCGTCGATCGCGTCGTGGATGACTCTGGCTACGCATTCACAGCTCTCGATGTCATCGTATGTTCATCCTAACTTATTCCTCGCAGAATGACACGCTCAACTAGAAAGCTGTTTCTGAATGATATAATAGGAAAAAGGCTTGGTGAGTCTGGAGCCGATCAAAAGCTACTCGCACTTGCTTTACGTGAACGTCTCCAAGAACCAAATTGTCGATGCTTCCCCGCTTTCGGAGCTTTCGTATCTTGTGTGCGTGGATCTATCGAGCAACGCTCTCACAGAACCGCCAACTCTCCCACAGCCGTATCTACAGGTAAGATTGAAGTCTTGTGTGCCTAGCTGCATCAATACGATCTTCTAACACGCATGCTTGTAGTCGCTTGATATGTCTGAAAACCAAATCTATGCACTGCAGGGTCTTGTATCGGGCTCTCTATCCGTTCTCAAAATCAACAGTAATTGTGTTAAAATGATCTTTGCAGCTTTCGTAGACTAACATTTTGATTGGGTATCATAGGAAATGCCTTGACGACCCTCGCTGGTCTTCACACATTGCCGTCCCTCGTCACGCTAGAAGCATCTCGCAACAACATCGAAGATATTACCAGCCTTGTAAGTGATACAGCGCCCAAACTAGAAGCACTTTGTCTGGTAAGTAAGTCATCACAATCACCACACACAGCTTAAACTCGCCGACTAATCTATTTGACTGTCAGGATGATAACAAAATCACGTCGTTGAGTGGCATCGAAAGCCTGTCAGCGCTGACCTCGCTGTCGGTCCAGCAGAACTACGTAATGTGCTCCCTACTGTACTGTATACTCGCTTTACAAGATCGTTTACTTACCTTCTTCTTGCTGTCAGATCGAATCGCTGGAGGCTGTGCAACATTTGGAACAACTAACCAAGTTGACGACGTTGAGTCTGATAGGAAACCCCGTGACGCAAGCCGAAGACTACCGTTCAGCGATCATCTTGTTGGCACCGACACTTACGCACCTGGACGGAGAGCTGCTAACTGACGACGATCGCTTGGCTGCAGTGCAATTAAAGCGTCAACGAGAGGCAGAGGCAGCAGAACAAGCTGAAAGAAATGAATAGAACGCTTGTACGGGCTGAAATGAGGGTTATTATAGACGCTATTGCCATCTTGAAAGGGGAGATGGAAGTCTACTGCTGGGGCACTTCCTTCGGGTTGAGCTTGATCAGGTCGTCAATCCGCAGAATGGTAATGGCAGCCTCAGTGGCAAAACGCAGACTCTTGATCTTGCTGATAGCAGGCTCCACCACGCCAGCCTCCAGGTTGTTGCGCACCGTGCCCTCCAGGAGGTCCAGACCCGAGAAACGCAGCTCGCGCTGGGAAGCGTCACTCTGCGATGTGTTGTGGTGCGCACGCAGACGTGCCACCAACTCGGAGGCGTCCTTGGCCGCGTTGACAGCCAGAGTCTTCGGGATCACCAACAACGCGTCAGCGAACTCGGCGATAGCCAGCTGCTCTCGGGAGCCCAGCGTCGTAGCGAAGTTCTCGAGGTAGATAGACAGAGCCGCCTCCACTGCACCACCGCCAGCAACAAGCTGGTTGCTCTCCAGCATACGCTTCACAACCATAAAGGCGTCGTGCATAGAGCGGTCCATCTCGTCCAGCATGTTCTCATTGGCACCGCGCAGCACCACAGTGGTGGCCTGACGCGTCTTGCAGCCCTTAATGTAGATGAGCTCTCCGTCGCCCACACGCTCCTCGCTAACTTCCTGTGCCTCGCCCAAAGTCGACGGGTCGAACGTCTCCTCGCCCTCCATGTCTGCAAGAGTGAGCACAACCTGTCCTCCTGTGGCCTTAGCAATACGCTGCAGATCCTCCTTCTTGCAGCGACGCACACCCATGCAACCAGACTCTACAAAGTACTTAAGGCACAGGTCATCAATGCCCTTGGTAGTCAGGATCACGTTGGCTCCAGCGTCAATAATCTTCTGGATCTTCTCCTTGGTGATGTCAATCTCACGCTGACGGATCAACTCCAGCTCGTTCGGGTCGTTCACTACCACCTGCACACCCATCTGCATACGGTGACGCTGTAAGTCGAAGTCCAGGAGCGCAATCTTGGCGTTTTTAATGTACGTGGGCATCTGCTGCGACGCCTTGGTGCAGTTGAGCGCAAATCCGTCGACGAGCTGCGTCTCGAGGGCGCTTTTACCGTGCGCCTTCAGCACGTTTATGGAGCTCACGGGGTACTTCGCCTTGATCTTGCCCTTGGCACCTTCCTGTTCCACCCTAACGGACGACACGGCGTCCACGACTAGATTGGCGAAAAAGTCGCTTTCCGGACCAAGGATCTTGGACGACATACTGGTCTTAGCAGCGTTCACTAGACTCTCGCGGCCAAGCGAATCCACAGGTACGCTCAGGTTCTCCTTAATGTATTTGACGGCCTCACGCATGGCGAGACGATACCCTGCGATAATGGACGTCGGGTGGATCTTGTTCTTCACCAGCTCGTTGGCACGCTGTAGACGGCGAACAATACAGCAAAAATCGATATTAGAGCTGCACACTTTTTACCACCAATGGAGAAATGATCAAAAAAGTATCTTCGTGCTCACCTTGAGGAGCTCAGCGGCAATGATGACGACAGATGTGGTGCCGTCGCCCACCTCCTGGTCCTGCAGGCCAGCCAGTTCCACCAAGACCTTGCCAGCAGGCTGCTCCACCTCGAGCTGTTTGAGAATCGTGGCGCCGTCGTTAGTGATAGTCACGTCGCCGATGTCATCCACCAGCATCTTGTCAAGTCCCACGGGACCCAGAGAGCTCTTCACGATGTTAGCGATGGCCACCGCCGCCGTCACGTTCTGCTCGCGCACATCCTTTCCCGACGTGCGCGTGCCATCCACCACCAGGTCTGTAGTCTCCATTCCTCGATCTGTAGAGTAGATACTAGGGCTCTCGGCGTCCAAGCGATCGTTGAGTGGGGGGAAATCTGTGTGGATCTAGATATGTTGTGTAAACCACACCATATATTCTGAGTAAATCGGAGAAATCTGAGAAGAGAGGTTACACTTGGTCTTTGTAACCCCAACAGGTCTGAGTCAAAAAGGTAACATTCGTAACAGTTTATTTCCGCGCGCACTTTTGAATTCCGCATCCATGTCTGCGTCAGTGGTCGATGCGATCTCGGCGCTTAACAGCGGAGATGCGTCTGCGCTAGCGAAGCTAATGGCTCAGCGCAGAGTACAGCGCCGCAAGCCTGCCAGGGGCAAGCGCAAGGCCAAGAAAAAGAGCGAAGACGAGGTCGCAGAAGCTGAGGAGGATGCCGACGAGGACTCCACAGCGCAGGTAGACGACGAGTTGCGCGCGCTGCCTCGTGAACAGCTCGACGCGTTCTACCCCGCGGCGGTGCAGCTCGTGGCCCCAAGCGACGATGAAGAAGAGGAGGCCAGTCGTCTTAAGGCCCGCGAATGCATCGCCGAGTTCACCGCGTTGCTGGTTGAGATGAAGGGCGTGTCCATTGACAAGGAGGAGCTTTTCGCTGTATGCCAAGAGCTCCACGACCAGCTACTGAGACTGAAAGGCGACACGGACCAAGTTCTGGCCACACAAGAAGCCATTTCCCAGCTCTGCGAGGCATGTTGGAAACACAACTTCTGTGGCCGCGCTCATTCGTTAGTTACCCAGCTACTGCCATACTTGATTGTACGCAGTTACGAGTCCCCACCAACAGGCAGTTTCAACTCAAAGAAGCATCCGATTCGCAGGCTGTTTGCGATCAAGGACGCACTGCCGCTACTGGACTTCGACGACGACAGCAGTGGCTTGTTAAGAGATATCTTGCTGCGCTGCTTTATCCAGCCGACGTTCTTTAGATCACCGGATGCAGTACCGTTCTTGAGCTTCTTGTTCACTCTACACGTGCCGTTCGTGGAGGATATCAACGAAACAATCAGAAATCAGATCCCGAACCAGCGAAACTCGATCCTCGTCAAGTACGGCAATATCTACTTCAAGGTAGGAAGATTAAAAGAGGATGCATGTTACTAAGGTGGCGGACTGACGCTCTATGTCTAATTTTCAGGCCTGGGTTGGCAGTAAGGGCGCGTTCCGAGAGAAAATTGAGGAGGAATGCATCCAGCGATACGTCCGTGACGCTGTCCATGCAGGGAGCACGTCTCTCTTCAATGCGGTTCGCTCCGTGCTTCAAATTTTCTTTGAGAACAAACGACACCCGGGTGTGGATGAGATGCTGTACCGCATCTGTAGTCCTATCCTGTGGCGTGGTGTCAAGGCTCCCAACGACTCCGTCCGACGCCAATCGACTATTCTGCTGTTCGACAACTTCCCGCTCCGTGATCCAGCATTTAACAACGAGATGATGGACGTGACTCTCCAGAAGCAGTTCGACACGTTCGAGGAGCTCCTAAGTGACTCTCACCCTGCGCTGCGAGTCGCAGCAATTGAAGGTGTGTCGAAGGTGCTGTCAGTCTACTGGGAGCTGCTTCCGGCGGAGACGATCCGGTGCTTCATTTCAAAGTTTGTGGTGGATTTAGTGAACGACACGTCCTCCAGTAGCGTTCGTGCAGCGGTATTTGAAGGCATCCAATTCATCTTGGACAACCACAACTCGCACTCGATTCTGAAGCCACTACTTCCTATGGTACGCTCGCAATGTATGAATGTGGCATACTTCGGGTTTACTAATCAATCACTACGCTGTGCTGTAGCTCGCACCTCTGATCAATGATCGGAACGAGAAAGTCCGTGCTGAGTTTGGCGCTCTATTGGTCCGCATCAAGAGCATCCGGAACTTGCACTTTTACGATGTTGTATCAGTGAATGACTTGCTTTGCCGCATGGTCATGGACCGTGACAGCCCTCTGGCCTGCAAGCAGCTCGTCTCGTTGTTTCTGAACTCGTATTTTCCTCAGAGTGTCGGTGGGTCTTCGCAAGTTGCTCGTTGTCTCGCTCTGGTGAGGAAGAATCCAGAGGCGGCAATGGTGTTTTACGCAAACGTGATTGAGCACGTTTCTGTGGGCTCTGTGTGCAAGTTAGCTGCTCTCTTGCTTCGATGTTCTCTGAACTTTGTGTCACGGCGGTTGAAACAGCCTCAGGAATCTGAGGATGACGACGAGGAAGATGAAGAGGAGGAAGAGGAGGAAGGCTTCAGTGTGGTCGGCCAAGTTGTTGTGCTCGAAGTTATTGGTAACCTTCTCAAGAGCGTGCACGTTAAGGTGTTGAGTGATGCTCGCTACTCTGAGTGCAAGAGCTTCCTGCGAGAGCAGCTGAATGTCGAGTCACTTAAAGCGCTTCTTCTTGCTTACAGTGAAAACCGTCCGCATGACCAAGAAGCTCTCAGTTCCATCTGGAAAATTATAGGCTTCCTGGGAGATCTATCGGAGGGTGTCTTGCTGGAGCGTCTGGTGGAAAATTTGATGAAGATGAACGAGAATTCCAACAGGAAGCTAGTGGAGTCGATGGTTGACTGCATGGTGCAATGGGACCAACTTCCGTTCTTGACTTCAAAGCTGGAAAAGTTCCTCGATCTATGGAGAAAGAACAAGTTCCGTTTTGATATTGCTGGCTCGAAGTCAAAGAAGAACAAAAAGGCGGAGCTGAACCCTGTCGTGGTACTTGGTACGATCGAGTACATCGCTCAGCTGCCGAATGTCAAGAGTCTCAACACTTTGCTTCAACCTATTGTGGAGATGCTGCATAGATGCATCGAGCCGATCCTCGAGTTCGACGTCGACGAAGCTGAACAAGCGTACAAGACGAACTCGTTTGGGTTTATTCGACTGATAGAAGTGTACGCAAAAGTCGCGGTGATGGCTGAATGCGCACACGTGAACGATGAAACATCTCTGCTGGTAGAGAAGGCAGCTAAACGCTTGAAGAAGAAGGACGACCTGCGGGACTTGCAGCCATCAGAATTCTTCACTCCGCCCAAGTCGCTCTGCTCACTTTTCGCCTGGCTTGCTCGACTCATGCTTGACTTACGTAAGGAGGTGGAGGGTACAGAGCAAACAACGCACGGGAAGAAGCGTCGTCGAGGCAAAAAAGCGGACGACGAGCAGCTTTCTCCTCAAAAGGAGCTGCTGAGTCGGTGGCGCAACCTGTTCTCTCTCGTTTCTCTTTTGTCAGCGGAGAGTGTTGCGTTTGCTCTGGAGCGTACACACTGGTTGCAGAATGGTCCTGCCGCTGATTTTATCGACGCGTACGTGGACACTTTGTGCGGTACTTTGCGGGATATGGAGTTGTTCGAGCGAACGGTGCTTTACCAGACTGCTCAACTTGCATATTTGCTTGAGCGCGTTCGAGTCAAAGCTATCAGAGCTACAAGAGCTCAGGCTGCAAACCTTGTGCCTTCTCTTGAGCACTGGATAGACACACTACAACAAGCTTTGGAGAGCACACATGAAAAGAATAAGGACAAGTGTGACGATCTGTGGCCAACAATCAGCGCGTCATTTCGAGAACAATGTGCAGTGGAGACATCTGCAGTTGACGAGACAGCAGCGTAAGTCGCAATAACTCATATGGATTGATAAGGATCGTGGTGTTGATTGATAAAATAGCTGAGCGGAGGTCCCGTCTAATAGATAATTCTACAGCGTGTGCTTGTTCGCATTTACGCGCGCGTGGCGAAGCACTTACGCAGCAACCTGCCACCGGCGCATCCGTTGTTGCCGGTGACAGGAGCTGAAACCACAGCAGTTGTTTTGATAGCGGAAGAAGCAAGCGCTTGCTTGTTCTTCTCCGCCTCGGATAATGGTGCGTTGGGACTGACCGATGCGAGCGACCCCTTGCCGTTAAAGCGGCCAAGTGATCGTGCGCGTTGTCGTGTGTCGTCATTGCTCGCAACTGTCACTTGCTCCAAGGAATGTTCCGGTCGCTCCTCCTTCGTCAGACAGGCAGGTCGCGTCTCGTTGCCCCCCACGACAGGCAACGCTGGATGTGACAAGAGCTCTGCAAGTGTAGAACGCTCGGTTGGGTTAACAACCAATAGTCTCTTCAGCAGATCCACCACTCGCTCTTTCCCCTCCACATCCACCTCGTCCTTCTCCAACAAATACTCCACTCCAAAATCCTCCAACAGTCGGAACCGGTCATCTTTACGTAGTGGTTCGCGGAACGGATATCTGGCCGCCACCATGGCGTACAGCATCACTCCTAATGCCCACACGTCGGCAACCATTGGGTCGTACTCATTCTGATGACCTTCTTCATACACCATTGCTGCGCTAACTTCCGGAGCCATGTACCTAAGTTTGCCCACTGGTCTGACGGTTATTTTCCCTTTGCATTGAGTTGCCAGACCGAAATCCGTGATCTGGCAGCAGTCTCGCTCGTCCACTAGAACGTTCTCTAACGATAGATCGCGGTGTGCAATGTCATTTGCGTGCAGGAACGCTGCACCGCGCAGGATCTGTGCAAAGTAGTGCATGACATTGACCTGTTTGCCGGCTGCCCGTTGTGTGTTGACCACGTCGAGTAGCTCACCGCGTTCGCAGAACTTGAGCACGAGCAGCACGGCCTCGTCCTCCATAATGCAATCACGCAGTGGCAATACGTTGGGATGACCGCCCAATGACTGTACGCGCAGGTTTGTCTTGATCTCAGTAAAAAGGTCCTCCTCCACTACACGCTCGGAGCTCTTGGAGCGCTTGCGAGCTGCGAATCGCAGCTCCATGCGCTTGACCGCCACGTACTCCCCCGAAGACGTATGGCGCCACTTTTGCACATTGCCGAAGAGCGCGGGTGCCAGCGTCTCCAGCGGTTCGTACTGCTGCATGACCATGTTGTGTCCGTTGCTGTCACTCCGATTGCTTCCAAGCGTTTTGCAGACTGAGAAAGTTGCCGGGCGAGCTACACAAAAGAGGTACTTGGGTTCAGTATGCCAAAGGTACTTCAAAGGGCACTTTTGAGTTTTTCTATGGACTCGCACCATCTGCTGAGCTTTTCCTGGAACAGGTTGTCGCAGGGAATCTCGAAAGCGAAGTTGCCTTCGGCCACTCACTTCCAAGATAAACAGCTCTTGGCAAAAGGGCTTTAGGAGGCTATCTCTCTCTTTCGCTTTTGGATGGGGATGCAAAACTTTTATTTGGCTGGGTTGGTGTGGGTTGACAGGGTTGTCGGAATGCCACAGTGGCAGGTTACCTACTTGCAGTAAACTTGCCTTCAAGTGCAACTTGCTCCGTATGCTCACTTTAAGCCCCACACTACATGTATCCAGAAAATACAGCAGCATGCCTCTGGTCATTTCTGAAGCTCCAGGACAATCGAGGATGCATGTTGTTAGTCACATTTTGGGAGGCTATGGCGTTGCTCGTTGGTGTCAACGGTCCAGCGTGTGAAATGATAAGGTACAGGCGTATCGGATTCCTTCAGCAGTGTACAGCTCGACGGACAATTGACTCCGCCGTCACGCGGCGATAGTAATGTCGCCTCGCTTGGACCGTACAACGCAACGCTGTATCCAATAGATGGATACAAAATCGGCAACTTGATCTGGCTTCGCATGCTGAGGCTGGTCGGGCGAGCAGCTTGGCTTCATGACAACGCATTTGGTTTCCAGGCTTTTGTATGCGCGCATCAACAATGATGTATCCCGCCGGCGTCCCAGTCTGGGACGCCGGCGAATACATCCATTGCGTTTTTGCTTCTGGACCCCAGAACCAAAAACGCAGCATTCTAAGTATTATCCATGGATAATAAAACTTGGAGTGTACTTTCCGAAGAACAGGCTGTACAGCGTAGAAGCAAGTGAAGCAAACAACGATGTGGATTGTGCTCGGGCGCTCTTCGGCAGAGCAGGATCGCTCGATTTGTCAAACCATGCATCTCATGATGATATTTAATTCTTTCAAATCGTGGAAATGACGTGGCTAAAATTACTTCGTGGTTTTCTTTGGCAACAAGAGCACGGCAATGCTGTTGCGTTTCACCCTCAACCTCAAGATTCAAAGCCACCTTCACGTGTCGGGGTAGGTGGCTTCGAATCTTGAAGTCTTCACCTTGAACACGTGCACAGGATGGTTGTCACAACGTACGCGCAATGATCTCTATTCTTTTTTACGGAGGAATGTGCATTTTTTCTGAAACTGTTTGGTGCCACTTTAAGGCTCCACTGAAGCCGAAACCTGCTCGCTTCTTGTTGTTGTAGCTGCTTCCCCTGCCTCCTGGTCTACTTGCTGCCATTCCTCGTCTGCATTCCGCTGTTGAGCACGAAGCGCACGCGCGTCCTCTTGTTTTCTTCGCTCTTCTTCAGCTAGTTGCTCGAGTTTCTCGTCCTCTTGCTCCTTCTCGATTCGACGCAGCCGACGTCTCTCTCGCTCAGCTTGTGCCTCCTCTCGTTCTACCTGTTCACGGTGCAAGCGTCGGGCCTCGCGCTCAGCGTCGCGTGTCTCCTTCTCAGCTTCGCGCTCGACCTTTTTCAGCAACTCATCACGTCTCATTTCTGCAATTTCCTCCATGGACAATTCCTTCTGATGCTCCAGCTCTTCTTGATGTTTTTCCATCTTCTCCAACTGCTTTACTTGCAGACGCAGCGAACGTTTACGCGGAATCGCCTCGAGAATCGCCAGCCGATTAGCTTTCTCCAGCTGCCGCGCACGAGCTTCGTCCTCGTCCTCGATCTGCTCTACTATAACTTCCAGATGATCCAGAAGCTCTTGCTCGCCGCGGATTTTACGTCCACGAATGTCTTTTATCGCTTTGAGCATAGAGCGACACGCGTCATCCCCCTTTGCCCACAGCGACCACTGTCTTGTCTCCGGTTCCAATCTGTACAGCCGCCGCTCCTCGTAGAACTGTGGGAAGAAATAATACAAGTTCCCAGCACGATCATTGCCCAGCGGGTCCACGCGTAGATCGTCCTCTTCCATCTGACGCATATATTCACTTCACAGCAAGGATGAGGACAGGGCCAGCCTCATATGTTAGCAAAACACTACGTACGTGTTAGCCGGGTCGTCCACCACGGCCTCGCACAAGTTGAGTAGGATTTTGCATCGCAACTCAATCGACAAGTCCGCAAATGACTGATGCTATCGTCCATAAAAGACAAAATATTAGATATTTACTACTGCCACAATTATTTTAAAAATAATAGTACGTACCTTCAGAGGACAGACGACACCAAGAGTTTCAAGACGCGCCTTTAGGATGTCGAGCGTCAGCCACTCGTCGTCAGAGAGTTCCACGTCCACCTGTTCGTCCGTCCTGCTGTCGGAGACGCTGCTATCATCATCGTCTTCATCTTGGGAAAACGATTCCGGTAGACGCTCGCCAGCCTTGCGTAGCAGTGCGTACCACTTGTTGTACATGTCCAGGTAGTAAATCCGCAGTTGCTTATTCCACCACTCGTACTTAAGGCCAATTCCAGCACTTAAACACGCTCGTTCACTTTTCTTTAGCAAAAGTTTCGTGAAAACGTCCTCCAGCACGGGACTGTCCTCTGGTCTCAGCAATGCTGCCTCATACTCCAGCAATGTATTGGAGAACCGAAGCGTCAGCGGACTCTGCAATAGCCACAGAATGTGACAAGCAGCAGGCAGTTCCCACATCGACCGCAGCGTGTTCAATTCGTCAAAGTCGATGTTTGTGTTGTTCCATTCTGCTCCCGTTTCCACGAACAAAGGCGAAGCAAGTGGCGCGTTCTCTTTCATTTTATCCGTCTGAGTCCGTGGCTTCCGTTTTGGCGCTGCTTTGGCTTTAGCCTTCGGTTTCGACTTCGGCTTCGGCTTCGCTTTAGTCTTCGTCGCTGTCTTCCCGTTACTAGCAGCTTTGCCAGCAGGTTTTGCACGCTTTTTGGCTAGCTTCTTAGATGACGACTTGTTTGCGGCAGTATTACGGTCTGTCTTGATCTCAGTCGTGTCTGAGGCCTCGACATCAGCCATTTCCACGTCTGCAAGACGGTTAAGAAAAAAATCGACAACTCAGTAACCACGAGCCCCACGGTGCTCGCGAGAGCATAAAAATAGAGCTGAAGCACCATTTACCTTTCCCCCCGTCTTCTTGCTCGCGGTTAAGGTCAGTTTTGGACGATAAAGCGGACGTTTGGGCGTCTTCCCCTGCCTCGATGGAGTCCTGACCCATGTCCTCTGTCTTGAGCGGTCCCTTACGCACCGTGGCCGCCGCCGCGTTCGCAACATCCACCAAAGCCTTAGACTTCTTGGCGGTGCCTTCTCCTCCATCAGACTCGAACGACGTGGGCGAGACGCGCTTAAGCGTGTCGCTACGAGTCATCGAGAGATCGCGTCCGCTGCTTGGTTTGTTTTCCAGAATGGCGCTAAAATTTTTGAGTAAATCTGTCCGGATAAACTGTCTCTTTACCACAAAGCTGCCAAAGAAAAAGTCAGAAATCGACACTTCCAGGTGGACAGAGACTGTTAAAAAAATCCTCAGTACTTGGTGGTGGTGACAGCATGTGTATATTGACTGGGTCTATCTAACTGTGGCTTTACCGTTGATCAGTTACGCTTCATCTATCTGAACGTGGCGCTTCTGGGCATGTGGTGCATCTTCTTGACTTGTGCGGCCTTAGGCTCGTTCGGGTCCTTCTTGCCCTTGCCACTCATGGCCACGAACGGATTGTACCCTGCCTGTCTTTTGTTGCCTCGGCCTCCGCGACCACCTCTGCGGCCCCGTTGGTCTTGATTGTCGTCCTTCTTCAGCTCGAACTTGGCTCCTGTTACCTTTGTACTGGCTGCAGCGTAGTCGAAGCCCTGGAAGCCGCTCTCGTCTTCACCTTCGTCGTCTCCATCGACCTTCTGCATAAACGCCTGCGCACGGTCCTTGACTTCCGAGGCCGACAAAGTGTCCACTGCGGTAGTTTTCCGCCGCTTGGATCGGCTAGACATGTTATAGGTCTCTGATATCGACTGCGGCATCTTCGGTTTGCTCTCGCCCTCTTCCTTGCTTGGAGTCGCCAATAAGGACGTCGGTTTAGCGACTGCTGTCTCGACTGCCTCACTATCAGCTATAGTAAACGTTGTACTCGCAACCATAGCGTTCACCTTTTCAAGCAACGTGGCTGCAGTCTCTGACTCATCGACAGTCTCCGTTGTGTTAGCGCCAAGAGCAACCGGTCGATTGCTGGACGATGAAGCTTCAGCAGCGACACCAGCCTTGCGCTGGCCGCTCTTCCAAGGAGCATACTCCGTACGTCCAACACGCTTCCGAATTGAAGTAACTGACTGTTCGTCTCCATCCTCGTTCCACGTCTTTCTTGTTGGCCTTGCTGCGACTGCAGGTTGAGGCTCTGGACGAGTTTTGGTCTCTTCCGCAGCCAGCTTTGTCTTCTCAGCGACGATCATTTTTGTAATCTGAAGCGCATGCTTACGGATAAGCAGTGGCACTGGATGACACACACGGAAAAGGTCATCGGATCGTACTGGCAGGTGCTTGGTGAGCTTCATGAGCACGTGGTTTGGCATCACATAAGCCACAGATTCGTCTTCCTGACGAGCAACGCGGTCGCGCCAGAGATAAAGCGCCACGATAACACGCTTCTGAAGCGCAGAGAGATCACGGAGGTATACTGTTCCCTTGAGTTTCTCACCGACTGCAAGCGCATCTTCCTCTGTCGGTTGGGGCTTCTCGTACACCTGTAGACACAGTTTACTGGAGTTCTGAAGTGTCTGGAAGAGTAGACTCTCGCGAGACTTGGCTCCAGCTTGTAGTAGCTCCTTCTTAAGTCGGTCGTAGATGAACAACAGGTAGCGTGTATCTTCACGCGCGTACTTGACCATATTCTTATCGAGCGGACGAGTACGCCAGTCTGCAAGTTGGTACTGCTTGTCGGCGTCGATATTGCAGTGACGCTTGAGCATGTATGCTAAGGAGAAACGTGGATACTGTAGCAGACGCGCTGCACGTCCCGTGTCGAAGAGGTTGACAATATACAGACCGAGATCGCGTTGTAGCCAGAGGATATCCATGTCACTACCGTGCAGCACCTTGACCTTCTCAGGGTCACAGAAGACCTGGTTCAGTGTCTGCAGCTTGCCACGGAGTGCCAATGTGTCGACCAAAAAGTCCTCTTGTGCTGTGGAAATCTGCATGAGACACGTGAGACCCATGTACGATCTGTAGCTGTGGTGTTCCAGATCCACCGCGATGACGCGAGCTTCAGCAGCTGTCAGAGACTTCATCATCTGCATCAGGTTCTCCTCTGAGTCTACCCACAGATACGACACCTTGTCCAGCCCAATCATCTCGTACGGCTCTTCAGAAGCCTCCAACTGCCATGGAGCATACTTGAGCCCCTTGATCTCGGGGTAGTATGGATTCCGCGGAGCCATCTCGTCATCTTCATCATCTGCCACTACAGTAGCAGCGCCATTAATTAGCGCATGCACCTTTTCACGAAGTTTAGACACGAACGGCGCGTCCGAGTTGTCGATCTTCTCGTCGAATCTGTCCTGGGGCTTGTCTTGTGCTCCTCGCAGCACTTTCTTCTCTACTTCCTCCTCCTTATTGGCTTTTTTGTTCTTTTCAAACACATGTGGCGTGTTCTCCAGTGGCCGGAGCTTGGAATCCTCGGTGGACGCTGCTGACTCGCCACTCACAAAGCGCGCAAGGTGCTTAGAAGCCTCGTCCAGCAGCATATCAGCGTAGTCTGTAACACGAGCGTTGGGTTCTGGTCCGTCAAACAGTTCCTGCACCTCGTCTTCATCCTCGTCACTGCTGTCCGCATGCTCTGCGTCTGCATCAGCGCGTCGGCGCTTGGTCAGCAGCTGCACGAGTTCCTTGGCCTTAGCGCCAGAGCGCTTGGAGCGTGTCGCAAATTCGGTGCTGAACTGCGAGTGGAAGTGGAAACCATCGTCTTCGGATGGAATTGCGTTCGACGCTTTCACAGAGAGCAGCACCTTGCGATACAACGCGCTCACAAACGCTGCGGCGTCGAGTTCCTCCGCCATTGTTTTGAGCGACTGCTGTAATGATTGGGTGCTGATGTTTTCGTACTTAGACGAAGTATTCGTACCTTACCGAGCGAGAACGTCAGGAGTAGTTTTTTTGGGTCAAACACTGCATCAAGCTGACCTGGTCAGATCTCTTTTTTTGGGGTCAACTCCTACACAACTCCGGGAGCAATACCAAGTTCATCAGAATTCTAGCTCCTAAGATCTACGTTGACCAAGTAGTTGTGACGAGGCAACAATGCGCAATGTGCGAGCATGTTCGTAGCTGTGGTTCTTGGAAACTAAAAGAGGAGCTGAACTGTATTCCATAAAGCAAATTAGAGATAGCGTGGGTATGCGTCTCGACAGACACGGTTTGCGCAGCTGAATACGATATTACAGATCACTTCTCCCTCAAAGGAAGAGGAACTTGCCGTTGAGATGACTCACTATGAGGAGACGAGTCACAAGATAAGATTTTCGCGGGCGTGGCCACGTCGAGGATCGGGGAAGTCGAGCTGGGCGCGCCGCAGTGAGCTGCGTAGGAGTTAATGCTGCTGTCATCTGGTGTTGAGGCGATGAGCCGCCACCAGTTGCGACGAAAGCCTCGTAGAAGATGGGTACATCGGTCCCATGACGACTCGACTTCGTCGAGCCCGTACCATTTCACTAAATCTCCCAGCGGTGAGTAGAGGTACTTAGTCGATAGGCAAGGAGCTTCTCGACCAGACGTCCGCCCTCGCCATGAATTGCTTGTTCGATGATGTCCTCTGACAGGCCGCGGTGGGCTTCACGGTAAAGCTGAAGTCGGGGCGCATGACGAACTGCCGTCGCAAAAGGCTCTATCATATTCTGGACTTCAAACGTGTAGTCGGTTAGCGCTGTGACGATACGCTTTAGGTCTCGCCAAAGTAGCGCGCGTTTGTTCTGAAGTTAGCAGGTTATCCCAGAACACACAGGTTCTTCCTGCTCTGGTGCCTCGCACCGGGTATATTTTGGAATGAGAGGGTTAAGTAGGTTTGCCACAGATAGTGATCCTAGGCTACCGTAATATGTAGTGGGAGTTTCGTTGGTTTCGTATGCAGGCCGTCGCTATCGATAGTTAGGTCCCAGGTCGTTAATTGCGCAACTGCGCCGATCGCAGTTTGCGACAGAATGAGACTTGCAACACTCCTCCTCGATGTGACGGGCGTGATATAGATGTATGTTGGTCATGACATGATCAGTTTGAGCATCGCCACATTGCGTCCATGCAGTGTAGTACCGAGTGGTTAAGTCAGGATATCAGCTTTCATCTCCGTAGTTGGGCAGTAGCGTATGCTGATTCCCTCATTGCGAATAGCGTCACGAATAAAGTGGAACTTTATGTTGATGTGTTTCATGCGGGCGGTTGTCACGTCATTCTCCATGTTTTTGATGGCGCTCTGATTATCAACGTGTAGGATGACATTATCACCTTTGACTCTCAGTTTGAGCTCGTCAATCAATTGTTTCACCCACAAACAGTCTTGGACTGCAGTTGCTGCGGCAATATACTCCGCTTCTGCCGTTGATAGAGATACTGTCGATTGTTTCTTGCTATACCAGGAGATCAGCATGTCATTTATGGTAAGCAAACCACCAGACGTAGATTTAGCGTCCTTGTCGCCTGCCCAGTCAGCATCGCTGTAAATGGCCACACCAATTCTGTGTTGGGGTGCCTGGGGTCGGCGGAACTCAAGCTTCAGCTCCCGAGTCCCTTTCAGGTACCGGAGGATTCGTTTGACAGCTGTCCAATGAGTAGTAGTCGGTGCGGCAACGAAACGGGCAAGGTAGTTCACCGCCATAGTGATATCAGGACGAGTGCACGTACTAATCCACAATAACGAGCCAATGGTCTCTCGCATGTTGTTCGTGTCAAAATGCGGCTCGCAGTCTTCACTGTGTAGGTTTCGAGTCGATTTCATGGGCGTCTTCACAGGACGGCAATTTTCCATCTCTAATTTCGCCAGTAAGCTATCGATGTTTGTAGTCTGGTCCATAGAAATGCCCGATGTGCTCTGCGCAATGTTGATCCCAAGGCATCTTTTGGCGGGACCCATGTCCTTGATCTGAAATTGGCCACTCAGCTTCTTCATTGTCCAGTTGCTATCGCTCTCACGCTGGCTGACTACTACTACGTCATCGACATAGAGACCGAGTATGGTGAGGCTGCCATTGTATCGTCGAAAGTACTGGCACGGGTCGAGTTGGCTCCTCTCGAAGCCGAGTTCCAGCAAGTAGGCGTGGATGGTATCGTTCCAGAGCTTCCCGCTCTGTTTAAGACCGTAAAGACTCTTTAATAACAGCATACACTTGCCTTTTGGTACTCGAAGACCAGCAGGGGCTCGCATGTAGATAGGTCGATCCAGGTTAGCTCGAAGGTAAGCGTTGGGTACGTCTCCTTGGCGAACAATAGCGTGCCACAATGCTGCAAGAGCGACAATCAGTCGTAGACTTGCGATCTTCAGTACAGGTGCGAAAGTCTCTTCAAAATCAACTCCATATTTCTGGTTGAAGCCGCGCGCTACAAGCCGAGCTTTGAATCGTTCCAGTTCTCCTTTGTTGTCAAATTTTATCCTCAACACCCATTTTGCAGTTATCAGATTTCCATCGGAAGGAATGTCGACAATTTCCCACGTGGCGTTGCTGGATATCGCGTGGAGCTCCTCCTGCATCGCCTGCATCCATTCACGGCAGTACGGGCTGTTCATTGCTTCTGCGACTGTCATAGGTACCTTAGTTCTATCGGATTCCAGTAGAGTTACAAATGCGGTTCCTTCACGGGGCGCTACTGTTAGCAAGGCAGTCACAGGAGTAGCGAATTCGTCGAGGAAAGATTGAGGTAGTTGAAAATCGTCTCCTTTCGGACTACTATTACCGCGATTTAGGCCAAAGATACGTTGAATGGCACGTGAGGTGAGTTGTTGGTTCTCCACTGGGCTCCCCACATCAGCTTCGCTTAGTTCAGACTCTTCGCGAGGGCTAGAGACATCTTCTGTGGCTCTGTCACCTTCGTTTGCGACTTCGTCAGCGTTGGTAGCGTCGGTAGCGTCCATATATCGCCCCACAGCACGCGTATCCAGTCGGTCAATGTTCTGGATGTGAGTCGTCGAAATAACACGCTTGGTGCGCGGGATGTAAACACGGTACGCTTTCTTTTGAGGGTCAACGCCAATGACAATTCCTTTTTCAGCACGTTTCTTGGTCGATTTCTCTGAGGGATGGGCGATATGGCTTGTACATTTTGATCCAAACTTTAAAATGTGCGAAACACTAGGCACTTTGCCAGATAAAGCCTCAATAGGCGACGCGTAGTCTGCATTCGCACGGGTAGGCAAGTAGTTCCGGATGTAGCTGGCGTAAAGAACGGCATCGCCCCAGAATCTCTGAGGTAATGTAGAAGCCCACAGCATAGCTCTAGCGGAGTCCATCAATGTCCTGTGAAAGCGCTCGGCCTTTCCGTTAGAAGAGGACATGTCACGTTCAGTGAGTTGATGGCGAATTCCACGATTGAGGAGGAAACGATTCAGTCTTCCACTGATAAATTCACCACCACCGTCACATCGAATCACTTTCACATTCGTATCATACTGCCGTTCGAACTCACTAATGAAGTTCTCCAAGTGTTCTTCAGCTTTACTCTTCTTACTGAGCAAGTAGACGCGGTTAAAATTTGTGGCGTGGTCCACGATAGTCAGGATGTGTTTGTGACCGAGGCGGTCTGGAGTCATGTCGGTCTTTAGGTCTACACACAGGGTCGCACCCGGTTCATTCGTTGGAGCAGAAGCAGACGTGTCGTGTTTGTTCTTAAGTCGGCGGGCTTGCTTCGCCTCGGCACAGTTCATACAGAAATCCACTTTCCTGTTAGATGCCACCATGCCACCGACAAGCTTCTTGTCCATCATGCGTATTAGGTCCTGGTAGCTCACGTGACCAAGTCGTTCATGCCACTGTCGTAGAGTAGAAGTTTTCATTTCTGCAAAAGAGGCAGCAGCTTCCTCGATACCGACCGACCAAAGTCCGTTTAGCGGACATTTCTTCACTTCAGCAATCTGTTTGCCCGTATCACTCGTACCGTACACAGGTCCTTCCCGAATTCGCAGGGAGTATCCCTTTTGTGTGAGCTGAGCGACCGACATGAGGTTGCGATCGATACCTTTCGCGTAATACACATTTTTCAGTAGGACAGTATGCTTTTCTCCAGTACGCGTAGTTGTCGTGACGACAGTGCTGCCCTTTTCGGTAGCGAGCTCAACATTGCCATTAGCGACTCGAACAGAGAGAAATGCTGGTGTAATTGCAAAAAGCTGCTCGCGATCCATGCACAAGTGGTGTGTTGCTCCAGAATCAATGGTCCAAACGTTCGAATTAAAGAAATTGGCTGAGTCGGTAGTGCTAGCCGCTACCCAGACGTGAGCTTCATCGTCAGAGTCGCTAGAATAACTGCTGTCTACTTCTTCAGCTGTGGCTGTATTCACACTACCGGTACTGACTGCAGTATTGTCAGTCGCCGTCGCAACATGCGCACTACTGGTTGTGGATGCTAGTTTCTTGGCTTGTTCCACCACTGGACATGTAAAAATCTTGTGCCCGAGCTGGTTACAGACGTGACATCGAATCTGGTGTCGATTTCCAGAAGCAGCAGCAAATGCTTGACCATTGTTCTGCTGGCGAGACTGTTTATCACTGTCTTCGTCATTGCTTTTATGATTCCGCCACGATCGTTCTTCCTTTTGGTTATTGTTGCGTTTTTGCCCGCGTACACCGTTTGAATTTTCGTTGCGGTGGTCACTTTGACGTATTTTCCGGTCATCTCGCTTGCTGCTATGGCGTCGTCAATCGCCTCTAAGCTTGTACAGTAATCGCTTCATGCGGTCGCTTTCTGTAGCATAATCCGTAGTGTCTTCAGGTACGGCCGCCAGAAGTGTAGCTGCGAGCTCAGGGCATGCGTGGTTACCAAAGACTTCCATCACTAACTTCGTCTGGTCTCCCTCCATAAGTCCTTCAATAAAGTTCAAATACTCTAAGTAATCGTGCCACGAGTCACTTTCTCGTTTATTACAACGCATCTTGGTGCTGAGCTCCAGTTGGCTTAGCTTACAGCCAAATTCTGCACGCATCGCGCGCTTCACCTCTGAATATGGCATGTTTTCACCGTCGTGACGTCGTTGCCACTCTGAGCTTTTCTTATGGTAATACCTGGACGCTTTACCTTTGAGATAGTTAACGATCACCGACGCCTTAAGGTCGTTGGTCCAGGTTGAGCCATTCACCAGCCCTTCGGCTCGAATTGCGTGTTCGAACTCATGAATAAAGTTTTCAAATCCGGCGCCTAAACCAGGGTAACCCTCGTTTCCCTTGAAGTTTGAGCAGCGCACATCCTTAATTTTGGGTTTCTTCGGCGAAGGAGGGGCTGATTCCATGCTAGTGTCCGACATTGACGGAGCTTTTGCTGCCAATTGGGTTTTCGTGACTGCCAGATCTGCCTGCAGCTGACGAATCAGCTAGAGCTGGTCGTGCTGCTCCATGGTGGCTTGATCCGAGGGATTAAAGCGTAGATCGTCAGGGAAACCTATCCGTATTTCCTCGCGGGCGTCTTCAAAGGCGTCGGCACCTCGCGCGTCGGCCTCTTCGTTTAGGTCTTCGACGTCGCCTCGCGTAGCGTCGAAGTCTTCACTGGTCGGGGCAGAGGTTCGGCCAGTTGGGCTCATAACCTGAAGTTAGCAGGTTATCCCAGAACACACAGGTTCTTCCTGCTCTGGTGCCTCGCACCGGGTATATTTTGGAATGAGAGGGTTAAGTAGGTTTGCCACAGATAGTGATCCTAGGCTACCGTAATATGTAGTGGGAGTTTCGTTGGTTTCGTATGCAGGCCGTCGCTATCGATAGTTAGGTCCCAGGTCGTTAATGGCGCAACTGCGCCGATCGCAGTTTGCGACAGAATGAGACTTGCAACATGTTCCCGATAGAACCGGAAGCCGTAGCCGCAAGTACAAAGTCACCGACACTAAACTTCTGCAGCACAGCACCCTTTCGGCGCGCATGTCGACCCCGAGCTGCCTTGCGACGTTACTCACTTGTGTCAACCAGCGCACGGTGCATTCCTTTAAAAGCAAGGCCTACGTTGTCGATATGCTTGCGAGTCTCCTCATCGACCGACTCGATGGTAGCGTCGCCAGAACTTCGTGGGTGCAAAATACTTCGGAGTTGGGATGATACTGGGGAGAGCTGTAAGCACAGTCAGCGGTAAGACGCCTCCGAGTCGGTCCGACGGCATACCGTTTAACGCAGCTTGGACCACCGGAAGAATTTGCGGTCAGTCACCGACGAGTAGCTTTTTTTCACTAAGGAGCGCCTTAGTGGCGCGCAGGAGCTCCCGATTCACCACCTTGAGCGTTCCTTTGGTCCACGGACAGTAGGCAGCAAGTAAGCGATGTTGGGCCCCTAGAGCTTGTTGTAACCGCTCCATAACTTGGTTCTTGAAGTGTGCTCCCTGATCGGAGACCCACAGCAACTCGACTCCATACCGCTTGAACCAGTCGAGTAACCTCGCGTAGACGTTGTCTGAGGGGGGCTTGAGCGAAGGCAATGAGCTCAACGAACCCACTCATGCCGTCTGTAATGACCAGGACGTACTTGTAGCCTCCGGCACCTTCCACCATCGTCTGAAAGTCGAAATGGAGAACTTTGCTAGAGCGCGATGCTCGAATCGTTTCTCTAAATGGGCGCGGGGTAAGACCAAAGATGGCTTTGTTCTTAGCTATGGCTCATAGGAAGAAAAAGAGGAACTGAACTGTATCCAATTAGGCAAATTAGAGCTAGCGTGGGTGTACGTCTCGACAACAGGAACATCCAGCTGTAGACGCACGACAGACACGGTTTGCGCAGCTGGATACGAGAATCCACATCAGAACACGCGACAACGCGTTTAAGCATTTCCCAAGTGCGGTAGACGTCACGCTTCAACAGACCTGGCAAACTGGCGGTAGTATCGCTGAAATCGGATCATTTTATAGCAGGAATCATCACCTATACGGAGGTGTCGGTAGATTCGCGTAATTTCGCAATTAATTGCACAGAGCATGTATCTGGAGTTACGCATGATACATGTATTACGGTCTTCAAGAGCAACAAGTCATTTTGCCATGTAAAAAAATGAGAAAACTGCAGGTGATGAGAGTCCCCCAGTCGACAGCCTTCTATTAGAAGCGTTTCCCGATGAATGGGCTCTGCTAGCAGACAAAGGGTATCAAGGTGTAGCAGACTTTCTGCGTGGTGTAATTCCAAAAAATCCAGAAATCTGAGTCGCGCGGACAAAACAAACAACGGCCGAATTGCACACGATCGCGTGATTGTCGAGAACTTCTTCTGGCAACTTAATAAGCTTTGGCACATTACGTCTGACAAATATCGTTTGGCTCGTGAGCTGTATGACTATGTATTTTGCCTGTGCTTAGGCCAACGATGTCCATAATTGTATTGCCCACTGCGACAACAAAACTAAAAAAGGTACAGGCGTTCTCAAAATAAGTTGATCGAACTTGACATGAATATTAAGCAGAAGCGTCGACTGGCTCAAGAAAAGTACCGAGCGAAGGAGAGACGCCGTCTATTTTCCACGCGGTCGGATTTAGGGGCGAAGCGGATGCAGGAGAAGATGCGTTGACACAGCTTAGCCAGGAGTTCTCCTTAAAGCTCAACCGACTCAGAGACGCGCGAAATAGCGGATTAATTGAAATTTAGGTAGATATTGCGCTGTCTAAAACGATTATTGATTTCTGCGATATCATTACTTCCTTCCGATTTTTTTGTTTTTTTTCGGTAAAGATGCAAGCGCACATGAGCCGCAGCGCCAAAAGTCGTATACAACATGTTTTTCGGTAACGATTTGATATCTGTTTGGCGCAAACCAGCTAGCTAGTCAATCGATCTAATAGTGCTGATATTTTCGCGTGGCGGTTTTTATTTCCCGCCACCTAAACTTGCAGTCTGTCCATAAGTCCGTCGGTTTCCTTTCTTGCTGATTTTCCTACCTTTTCGCATGGCTACACCCGGCCTTTCTAATACCGTTTCCTCTCATCCTATCAACTGCGTCTATCTTTCCGACTCGACCTAGCTGTGCAGAAATTACAAAAGTAGCCAAAACGCGGACACAATAGCCTTGCGTCCTGATTGGGCAATATTTTCCGACTTACTTTTCATTCAAAACACAAAATTAGGATAAGGTGCGCTGACTGTATAGTAGCAGAAGGTTAGTTTTACATATATATGCATGTATGTACGGGCGTGGAGCTCCTTGCCCTACTTTATATTTAAGAGAGCCCTCTCACGATACAGTCTGAGGCAAGCCCCGAGACTCCAAAGTGGTATGGCAGTTGGTAGCGATAGCAATCAGGTTTAAGGGTGACTGGGAACGTCTACCACCATGCACGCGCCTAGGGGTCCTAGACCCACCGCGGGTGTTCACGCTCCAAACGCGAGTGGCGTGTGCTGCCAATTGGCCATACCGAAGTTACAGCCACATGCGGAAGAGTCGTTACGGTCCCGCAAAACAGAGGTGCTCTTAAAGTATGAGCTCCCACATCAAAACACACTTTGCGAGAGCACTACTGGCGGGACAGAAAGGAATCCAGCAGTCGGTCTCACAAGAGCCAAAAAAACCAAGACCAAGTGGAAGGACAGCTCAAGAACAAGAGATCAAGACAAAAAAAACATTTTGAGAGTATGAGTGAGCTCCGCGCCTGTACACTTACAATTCGCAATTTTAGAGCATTTTCGGCACTGTGTGAGTCCCGTGAGGGACTGGGGATGTTTTTGGACACCCTGTGCATACTACTGACATGACCTGAAGGGCTGGACGGTATCAACAGACCTGGGCAACCACTCAACAGGACTGAGACAGCAGCTTTGACCCAAGAGGCAACAGCGCGATGTGGCGTCTGAATTACCATATACAGCTGCTTGGTCCCCAGCCGTGCAAGGCAATTTGGACTCTCGGAACGTTAGCTAAGGGCTGTAACACGTCGGCCAAGGGGAGGGCCTAAGATAAAGCTGGCTGGACCAACAAGCTGCCCGGAGTGACGATCCCCCTAAGCTGTTTGTAATCCGAGGAGCCGGGATGGAAATGACAGTGGTGTGTTCTATGTGAACGACCAGCTTTTCCTAATTTATTATTCCCAGAGGGCTTATTGATTAGTACTGGAAAGGAAAGTTCGGGGTCCTATTCGAGTACCACGTTGCTTAAGCTACCGTGTCCATGTGCTGGTGCTTATATATATGAAACAGCTGTAAAAATATTTATAGTGCACTTAGACTTTCAAGTCTAACCGCCAATGTAATTATGTTCCATCTAAATCAGGCGACAGTCCAGATCAATTATACGACAACATGGCAAGGACCCCCAGGAAAAGAAAAAGGTTTCCCAACAACTGTGTAGAGGGCTTTAGTGTAAAATTAACTCGACTAACTGTGTACAATGATTTAGAGCTACCCGCGAGGAACTAGACGAGCGTGTACAACGAGCTCGGCAGAAGAACGCTTCGCCCCCGCAACTGGAAGCAAGGAAAGATAGACTGCTCCGTAAACAATAGCTTCGTAAAGAAGAGGCACGCTATCGCAAGGTAATTCAAGAGTTGGAGCAGCTCGACTTAGGCTAAGCACCAGCACAAATAGGAATCGAGCGCTGCGTGTACCTGGCGTAGCTGAGGAGAAGACAGAAGAAGATGACACCGCGGTGCATCAACGTCGATCCGAGGAGAACTCGCATCGCGAAGACCCTGTTGGCGAAGCCCGCCGTTTCCGGATTGAGGTGCCAGGATCTGTAGCTGACGATAGAGCTGCGGCTAAACGTGCGCGTGATGCAGAAAGAGCCCGCGCCTATGGCGAGCTCACAAAACTACGGACACGAGCGAAGGATGCGAAGAGGAAACGGAGACGTAGAGCTAACCAATTCGACACCCAGGTTATCCGAGATCGCGGACGAAATGCCGAACTAGCGAGGGTATGACGCGATCGAATGGCTCCAGTAGACCTGGCAGCTCATCAAGCGCATGTACGAGATGCGCAGGCCAACCACAGAGCCAAAAGAACAGAGGCGAGTAGTCAAAATGCCAGAATTCGGGATGCAGTGGGACACGACAGTCGCAGGGAAGGCATGTCAAATGAACAGCGCCAAGCAGAGCGTGGCCAACATGAAGAAGCACACCGATATCGCAGGAACGGCATGTCGGATGAGCAGCGTCAAGCTGAGCGTCATGCAAACACAGCACTGCAAAGAGACTTTAGAGGGGGCATGACGGATGAGCAGCGCCAAGTTGATCGCGATCATAATACAGCAGCACAAAGCGACCACAGAGAGTATTCGACGGATGACCGCCGTCAAGCAGAGCGCGACCGGAACACAACCGCTCAACGGTCACGACGAGAAGCTATAACGGAAGAGCAAAGAGATAAACGAAAGGAACAAGAGCGGTTTCGAAGGCGACAGTATAAGAAGGGCCTCGCGCACCACGACAGTTTTGACCCTTCCACAGTGGCCGGTGGCCGTCATTACTTCACGCGTTACATCGATGACAACCGAGACTGCGAATGGGTTTGTCACTACTGTAGCGCTTGGAAGTTTCTGCAAGAGACATATGAATGCTGCTGTCGTAGCGGACTGGTGCTCGTTCCATCCTCGCGCTCAGCTCCTGATGCTCTTCTAACACTTTTCAAAACCCCGATCTTCATGCGGTCAATCCGAGCATACAACAACGCATTGTGTGATTACGTCCATGGGAGCTTCGCGATCTCGACCTCTTAATGTCGACGAAAGCGTGACACGAACTGGTGTCTACAACTTCCGTGTACAAGGGTCTGTGCTCTACCGCATGGAATCGTTGCTACCTCCTACCTTCGGCCGGTCCATGTATGCCCAAGTATACCTTAACGATCCAGACATGGATGCACGTGTGCGAAGCCATATGAACATGACGCAAGGCCTCGATCGCGCCGTTATGGAAACGATTGACCAGATGATGGTGGCACACAACCCATACATATCAACGCGCGTAGGTTTTTGGTGCATCATGGTTGGGAGGCGTAAGCAGCAGCCATCGGGGAGCTCGAACGACGCCGAGCGGCAGGGGAAGACGTTGATGACCATGATCCGTCGTTAGCCTTGAGTAATTTTCTCTCCAAGGGGGGTCACCTTAAGCTACGTCTGCACGTCACACGAAAGGCGAATCCGGGTACGCATAACACCCCAATTGCATCAGAGGTGACAGCCGTTGTGTCGACACAAACGCTGCTGAGCATCGGGATTATATCCTACACACGACAGGAGGAGGTTTCAAGTGCATCTTTGAGACGAGCGTTACTTACAACCCGCTGTAGTACCCTCTACTGTTTCCCTATGGGGAGAATGGCTGGCTTACGATATCCCGTACGCTGGTAATCCCGTCGATCGCCACGGTGATCCGTTAACGATGTCCGTTCGGGTATATGAAGCGTATCTGCTTTACGACCGGACGATTAGTAATTCTCTTATCCTGCGCGGTGGGCGACTGGCGCAGCAATACTGATTGATTAATTATCTAAATGCGAACAAGAGCGCCTGCGCTTCATCAAGAAGATCCAGCTCCAGTATCGATTGGAAACCCTCCAGGGGCTCACGGACGCGTTGCATGGAGAGTCTGTTGAAATCCGCAGAATGGCAGCTGACGACGAGGCGGCCATTTGTAGGGCTCGGCGTGGGTATATTACGGAGCAGGAGTCCGCGGAGCCAGATGCGGGTGAGCTTGCACGCAAGATCATCATACCTCCGAAGTTTACAGGTGGTCCTCGCTACAGGTACAGACGCTTCTTGGATGCCATGGCTATCGTCCGTGAAACAGGAGCCCCTAACTTGTTCATTACGATGACATGCAACCCGAACTGGCCTGAGATCAAGGAAAACTTACGCAGTGGGGAGAAGGTATCTCGGCCATTGTGGCTCGCGTGTTCATGGATAAACTAAAAATCTCTTAGCAA